CAATACGATGTGTTCAATGCAATGCGAAGTCCTCGAGTGGCGATTTACCCGCCTTTCCATATCAATACCGGCGAGCACGAAATATTCGTGCTAACTATGTTATACCTCACTTAACCGGACAATTATAACTCTTAACCTGCAATAAATACATTTAGCAATGTGCTTGTTACAGTATCACTGATAGCAGCACCCTAGGAGAATGTTTTTATGATCCAATCATGTTTTTCCAAGAATGTATAGTTTAAGCTGGAGGATATCTAGAGGACATTTTAGATGTAATGAAAAACTACAATTTAACTTTTTAGTGTAAAGAGATACATACAATTTTTAATAATAGTTTAAGACAAAAAAAATTGGATTACATTAAAAAAGGTTTTTAATCACTTACAACTCACAATGAAAATACCTGTGTAAATTACTCATATTAAAGGCATATCATACCTCAGTGATTTACATTATTTTTCTTTTTTTCAGGAGCAAAATAATGTTTAGTAATAATAATAATTGATTCAAAGCATTATTGAAGCTTATCATTCAATCTAGTAGGAAAAGAGATGAATGTGATTTTTTTTAAAGGTACCAAAATTATACAAGCAAAAAGTAAATAGCCAAAGGTTTTTAAAGAAAAATTCTAAGTTCGCAAAGAGGAAATAAAGATCTCTTAAATTTAAGGGTCTAGATTATAAACCTTTCGTGTGACAAAGGAAAAAATTATCTTAATCTAGAGTTGTTCATTTATAATACAAAATAATTCTTGAAATATTTTTAAATTTTTTAATAAACCCCCAGTTCAAAAAAGAAAAAGGGGAAAAAATTCTGAATAAGGACTTGGTTATAAAATTTAAAAAGCCCCCTGATATAGGTGTTTTAAAAAAACATTTTTTTTGCTACTCCCTCTGTCTGCTGGACGTCCTCTCTGTTTTGGGTTTCCCCCTTTTAAATTTCCCGTCCACCTTAACTTTTTCATCCCTGGAATATATTAAAAAAATAGGCACCCTCAAAACATGTGCGCGTCCAAAAATTACGTTCCCCCACCCCAAGGGAAGGGCCACTAACATTTTAAAATTTTACTTTTTTCACAATAAAAGTTTATGGTTTACACAAATTTTTTTCCGGAATGTAACTTTGTCATGCATGGAAGAATTTTAGAATAACTTGGCATAAATATCTACCACATCAAGACGATGTGTTGCGTCCACTTATCACGCCCCTACCTCAAAGGCCAAGGTCACACTACCATTTTGAATTGCACTATATAAAAATTAGAGTTTATAGTTACACACATTCGTATCCGGACTGTCATGCATCGAAGGATTACAAAATAACCAGGCATAAATATCTTCCACATCAAGACGACATGTCGCGACTAAGACCCCTATCCCTGCCTTCAAGGTCAAGGTCATACTTATAGTTTGAAGATATTCATTCTCTCGAGAAGAGTTTGAAGATACACATTAATGTCCGGTCTATAAATTTGTCATGCATGGAAAGATTTTATAATAACTTGGCACAAATATCTACCACATCTGGAGAATGTATCGCAGCTAAGGCAGGCTCATGTCCGTCTGTCCGTCCGTGTGTCCCCACTTACACAACAATCATGTCCAGTATGTAACTTTGTCATGCATTGAGGGATTTTGAAATAACTTGGCACAAATGTCTATCTCATGACAACATTCTGTTGTGTCCAGGAACCACGTCCCTTCTTCAAAGGTCAAGGTCACACTTATATTTTAAAGGTTCACGCTCTCACAATTAGAGATTATAGGTACAATAATACAAAGAAAAATATTAAGCAATTAGTTACTTTCATCCTCTTTTCTTTTCATACTACCAGTCCTGCATGCTTAAGAAACCTTTTCGGGGCCAGTGATATTTTCTCACTTAATTTGGAAGAGGCCTTAGCCTCTTGATTTTGGGAAAATTTATCTCTAAAATTGCTGATTTGGGAAGTAAAAAAGCTGGTTTAAGTTCATATTTTTGGGAAAACTGCATGATTTTAAAGAAAATTTCAATTGGGAAGAGTCCTTTTCTCGGAGTAGAAAAATCACTGGGGGCATTTGTCACTTGTGTGACAGCTCTTGTTGAAGTCCGAATTTAATAAGGAAAATTCTAAGTATAAAGGAATGATGATTCTGAAAATATTGATGCTAGAGTTATGAAGCTTGCCATGTTATTGTTTAAAGTTATAAAATATCAATTTTTATTTAAAAAAAGTTTAATGGGGGAAATAATCCTGGAAATATTCATGCTGCAGTTATGAATCTTGTCACACATGATAAGGAAATATATTTGAAGTTAGAAGTAGATACCGTAAGAAATAAAAAAAGAAAGTAAAAAGTTTTTGGTTTTTGTTTTTTAGCGGGGCGGGAGGGGGGTTCAGTCAGTAACATGTGTAACAGTGACACTTAACTATTGAACTTTATTTATTATTAATTAAAAAAATTATCGTATGTTATAAAGTATATTTACAAATAATTGCTAAGTTTCACAATTCAATTGGGCCACAGACCCATATACAAAAGAAAGGAGAAAAAACATTGATAAATTTAAAGTGAGTGTATCTTCTACAGAAATTTGATCCTTCAACGTCGGGGCCATTAGATAAGAATACAGAGGGGCAATAAATAATGACAAAACTCTCAACTCAGTGGACGTGTTAATGGGAGACATACAGTTAATAGTGATTTACTAGCTGATAAGCCCTTACTGAGATTCAGCAGGCTGGAAGGGTTTATGCGTAGGACTGTATTGTTTGATGGTTTCAGAGATGCAGATAGATCTATGTCTCTGATGGTTTCGATTTATATTTGAATTACAATAATTACAGTAGTGTTTTTAATTAAATCTTCTTTTTTGTAGTTTTTCAACAATATCAATATGAAAATATAAAATACCTTATTATATAAAGGAAAAAAATTGCCTTTTGTTAAGGCAAATATCATCATAAACATATATTCCCCCCCCCCCCAAACACACACACACACGCAAATAACGCAATCGGTAAAACTAGGGCTTGTCCTACGTGTCACTGTTACACATGTTACTGACTGAATACCCCTCCCGCCCCGCTAAAAATCAAAAACCAAAAACTTTTTACTTTCTTTTTTTATTTCTTACGGTATCTACTTCTAACTTCAAATATATTTCCTTATCATGTGTGACAAGATTCATAACTGTAGCATGAATATTTCCAGGATTATTTCCCCCATTAAACTTTTTTAAATAAAAATTGATATTTTATAACTTTAAACAATAACATGGCAAGCTTCATAACTCTAGCATCAATATTTTCAGAATCATCATTCCTTTATACTTAGAATTTTCCTTATTAAATTCGGACTTCAACAAGAGCTGTCATTGTGACCGAATTCCGTGGTCGGCATAAAGACGTTTTATACAGTGCTGCATTTTACATAGAATGAAAATTTAAACTGTTGCAGATAACTTAGCATGAAAAAGAAAATCAAAATTGAAATGTTGAAATTTATTCAAAACACTCGTGGTTTTAATATTTTTAGCTCTATGACCCTAAGAGTGAGTATATCTGATGGTTACTTGATGCAAGAACAAGTGCCAGGCTCTGTGTATGAGGTCGATAAAAAGATCAGGCATGTCCTTATTCCGCTTCGGTAATTTTTTTTCCGATTTTTTTTGTGTGTTGTTGTTGTTTGATTTTTTGCCTGTTTGACTGGCGAAAGCCTTTTTATCATCTACGAATATAGGGACAACAGGAGACAGTACATCTTAGCCTAGATACAGTGAATAGCCATTATTCCAATCTATATCTATTTAGCTTTTTCTGACAAAAATATATACATCACATATATACACTTACTTTAGTTTACAAACTTCACATTTAAAAAAAAACAACTTTGGCCTTGTACATGTAAAATAAATAATCAACTCAAATAACAACTAACGCTTGTTATATCAAGCAAAGTTTATTATAATATTCAAAATGAAGCAATTAGCAAAACAAAAAGCAAATACACAAATATAAATTTTAGTGAATTATGAGAGGCACAGGTGAAATTGGTAAAATGTGTCTACTTCCAATATGAAGTCTTACACTAATGTTTACATTTAATCTATTATTATTACTAGTGTACAGAAATGTCAATCGACAATCTAACTTTAATTTTTTGAACACTGTTGATATATGATATTAAAAGAAAATAAATCGATGAAAGTTCGTTTAAAATTGATCTAAAGAAGATTTTATTATATACAAATGAAAACTCCGGCAAACATTAGCTAAGTATTTTCGCCAAAATGATTAAAACATATACGTATATACCACTGTATACTGCTCAAATATGAAGATATATAAATACAACTCCTGAGTAAAAAATGAAAATCATGTAGCTTTTGTCAGAGGTACAAAACTCAATATGAAGGCTCTGAGAATTTCGAGACTGAGAATAAGCTAAAAATATTTTGTCAGAAAAAAAATTTGTGAACTTTTTTGCCAAAACACGTTACTATTAATTTATTTGAGAAAATCGGGGGAAAAAACACAATAATTTTATTGTATTGTCAGAAAAATTGTATCATGGTGTTATGTTCTTCTTTCTTTAGTTAGAATGAAAGGCATATTATATGACCAGAAATCTATTGTAATCAGTTTTCACCGTGTAGATATGTGATTTTGTTCTTATTTCATAGCAAGGGTATTACGGAAAAATAAGTTGTAGTAGTTTTCTGAGGTTTTGTATTTTGCTTCGGGCAGCGTAGGAAAATGGATATCTTGCATGACCAAAGGTTTTCACACGCTGTGAGTAGCAAAATATATTGTCACAATATAGTTTTCCTTTAATTAAATACCTATATAAATTCTAAGACATAGAGATTCCATTTACTATAGATGGATGGATAGATATATATATAGATAGATAGATAGATGATAGATAGATAGATAGATAGATAGATAGATAGATAGATAGATAGATAGATAGATAGATAGATAGATAGAGAGAGATAGATAGATAGATAGATAGATAGATAGATAGATAGATAGATAGATAGATAGATAGATAGATAGATAGATAGATAGATAGATAGATAGATAGATAGATTTATTTCGGCATAAAGGTAAACATGTTATATGATAAACGATCATGATATAGATTAAAACAAATTACAAATAAATGAATAAATAAATAAATAAATAAAATAAATAAATAAAATAAATACTATATAATGTAAAGCGGACTTCAATTTGTTACTTCACAAACAAAAATATAGCTGTCAAGAAATAATATTCCTGAATGACGGATGAATACATCATTTTTGCACAAAAAAGCCAAGCTCTATGTAGCATCGGTTCCCGTTTCCAAACAAAGACGTGATGCACAGCTTAGATAGGAAATAAAGGAAAACAATAGTCCGGCAATTCCATATGTGGTACCGTCACAAACATAATAAGGGCTTACATGAGCAACGTGTATATAAGGAAAAACATGTATACTTATATAATAAATGTTGATATAAGTTTTATATGTACAAGTCATCTACAGGTAACACAAACTGGTTAGAGCATGCAATCATCTTTCAAAGTTAAGTAAAAGATAATGAATCATTCTTTCTGCAACTTTCACTTTAGATATTTCTCAACTAACGTCATATCAGTATACGTATTTTACTAAATGCACAAATCTTATTCAGTCATGTATTTTCTTGCGTACGTAAATTATTTTTTCGCTTAGCGTAGCTGAATCAGCTATTTGCCATTTAATCAAGAATCGCCTGTAAAATATGACGCAATTTATCCCGTTCTTGTCGGACATTAGTCATCACTGTTTGCCGCTGAATGCAGGTTATCCAGTTCTTGTCTAACAGACTCGAATGTCGGTCTTTTACTTGCTTCATATGACCAACATTTCTTCATGACTGCATACCATCTGCAATATAAGAATGCTTAGACTGTAAGTGGACAGTCATATGTACTAGTACACGTAGTTAAAACTAAAAATTAAGAATGAAACATAGAATTAGCTGCTCATTTTTATAGACATTCTACTTGCTTCACATTTTGCCTACTTTTAACTATATGATGCATTAGTATGAATATGAATAAAAACTGTGAACAGGATATTTACGTGTCATCACAGTGTTCCGGCTGTTCAAGGCGTTCTCCTTCCTCGAGTCGTTTTGGAAGGTCAATATCTTTTCCCGTATATGGTATGTCCCCTAGTAAAACAAATACTTCTATATATTTTTTTTTATTTAGGTATGATTCAATGAATGACAGCAAATTAAACAAAAATGCATATAATTTGCATAAAAAGAAGTCGTATTTATAGATGTTAAAAAAAGGCTGTGCATTATGATTTCTGAAGAAAAAAAGAAGGAAATTTCTATATTTCTTACTATATTTATCGCTAATGTTATATATATTCATGTTATATATATTCATCGAGAATGTTTATTTCGCACTATCAGTCTATTTTAAAGCACATTATAATACGGTTAACTGAGCATATGAAATGCTTCATATTTATGCACATTGTCACTGTTACGCGGCGCGAAGGGAAGTGAAATTGTGAATTAATAATTGGGGATTCAAGTTAAACTTGTCAAAATTGTGCAAAGACATTGTTGCCTTAAGCAAATGGCTATAGAACTGTAATGTTACACACAGAAATTCCGGAATAAAAACAACAATGAGTAACAATTCTCGTTATTTCCTACCTAGGGAGAAAATTTCCCACAAAACTACACCAAATGACCAAACATCACTTTTTTCTGTTGCATTACGGGAAGATTCCATGCACTCGGGAGCCATCCATTTTAATAGTTTGTTCTCCTTAAATAATTCAATAAAATAGAGAAAATAAGAATCCCTAAAGAAAGTCCAAAACGGCAAAATTAAAAATGTTGCAGGCTCGGTTTGATTGAGCCTGTTCATGGACAGTGCTGTCAAGTGCAAACTACCGTCCTGGCCCTTTAGCACCGGCAAACAGAATTCAACATTTATACATGAAAAGGCAAATATTTTAATAAACCGAGAATAATTATCATTTTCTATTACACTGTATACATCATCGAATCCTTATAGGTCCTATTTTTGTCTAAATTTCCTATCATTTTATAGGTTCAATCCACTAAAATTACTGATATTTGGAATCATTTTGTTTTTTTTTATAAATGTTGCCATACATTGTTTATAAATAGTGTTTTCTTGTCCAACAGCGGAAACTACAAATCAACAGATTTTACCATCTCTCCTTTTTCAGCATCTCCTTCTTCTTCTTCCAGAGACTGTGGTCCAAAGCCATAAATTTTCACCTCGTTTTGGGAATTCAGAAGAATATTTTGAGCAGCCAAACGCCGATGAACAATCTTGAATAATTAAGTAAACGTACTGCATTTAACACTTATATACAATGTATAATTAAAATACCAAATAAACAAACGTATATATGTTAATATATTGTTAAATATGGTTCTGCATCAACCACATTAATATTAATTGTGTATGAAAAAGTAGATACTTTATTATTTTTATTATTTAAGTCTGGTTTGTCCTTAACTGTATTTATATTCAACTCTAGAAATCCAAAAAGGAACGTCCATAAATATGTGTGCAAATTTTATAAATCAGTGGTTTGTTGGTTTTTGAAAAACACTGTTCATGTAAAGATCGTATGACTACTTTCCATCTTTACTGTGGAAGAAGACCTAACATCGTGCATTATAACACATACACAGGATACTACCACGTGTAAGTAAAGGTTTTGACGTGATTCGAACCAACAGTAATACAGATCGAATGATTCGTAGCAAGAGACCAAAACCATTGCGGCAACAGAGGCCTTTGTCTTGATAAAATAAATAACAAAAAAAAGAAAGAAAGAAACAAGCGGGCCATGGTCCTGAATCGCTCACCAGAAATAACTGCTTTTTAGTGTTGGAAATTATTTTTTAAATGAACTTGCTGAAAGGGAAGTTCAGCTCTTTCAGCAAGTTCAGCTCAAAACACTTCCTAAGAATGCTTCCGACAAAATTTGGTGATCATCCATCAATTAGTTCTGTAGTAGGGGACATTAAAAGGTATTTCTACTTTTAGCTACAGCTTTTTTGGGCCAATAAAAATTATTTAGAGCAAACTTGATAAAAAACTACCTAAGAATGCATCCATCAATAAGTTCTATAGAAGAAGGTGTTTTTTTCTATGTTTAGCTCTATAGTGACCCCTGAAAGGGCCAATCAAATTAAAATGAGCAAACTTGATAAAAGCCTACCTAAGAACGCTACAGACAAATTTTGGAGATCCACCATCATTTAATTCAGGAGTAGAAGATATTTAAAGGTTTTTCTATTTTTAGCTCTGTTGACCCCTGAAAGGAGGCAATTAAACTGACATAAGCAAATTTAAGTGTGACTGTCACAAGGATGCTACAGACCAAATTTGAGTTAAATCTGTCTATCAGTTTCAGAGAAGAAGATGATTGTTGACGCATGACGACGGACGCCGGAGTATCCCCCTTTGATACTTAATCTTCGGTTCCGGTGAGCCAAAAAGGAAAGGAGTGCTTAAGATTTATAAAGTCGTTTAAAATTGTTTTTGTTACAGTTCTGTCGGCCCTTTTAAAGAACTTACAATATGATTGTACGTAAATTTAATATCTCATGAACTAAAAAAGTATAAGAGGATCTGTCATTAATTGACATCCATTAACTTTCGTATGTATTATATATCTTAGAGCTAATAATGTATTATATATCTAATAATATCAATTTGTTTCGCGCAGACTGATTTTTTTTCAAGTTATATGAAATTGAAAAACATTTACATTTTGTCATATACGAGTGATCCGTCAACAAAATTGAAATGCTGTACCAGGGTTGATATAAATTCAAATTTTATAAAGTTCAGGCCATATCAAGCATATCAAGGCAAAGTATTTTAAAAGTAAAGAAAATCCTTGTCAACAGTCTTAAGGAAACACATTTGACTTGGTTTTCATTAAACTTTGAAGAAATGTTTATGCTAATGCTTTTGATATTTTGGTTAAATATAGAAATGTGTCATCCATGGTATAAATTGAGACACCAAATTAAAATGAAGAAAATCCTTGTTAACACTCTTGGGACCACAATCTTAATTTAATCGCCATCAAAATGTTAACCTATATCATATTTTTCATAAGTCGGAAGATCTCGGTCACCACGTCATACAAAAAAAAACTTGTTAAAACAAAGAAGTAAAGAAAAGTATGAGAAAAAAAAATCCTAAAGAACGGCCAAAAAAACGTAAAATTGAAAACGTTGCAGGCTCGATTTGAGTCTGTTCATGGACGGTACTATAAGGTGCAAGTTATTGTCTACGCTTCCAAGCACCGGCTTAAGCAGTATTCAACATTTGAACTTAAGAAGCATCTGCAGATGCATTCATGTAATCTTCAGTGTGACACGTTCGTGCCATTCAATGAAAAGCGGCAAATAGTCCCCGAGTAATAGAATGACTGTGTCCTACACGAAAAAAGAATGAATTTAACTCAATACAGGATTGGAGCAGTTCCTACCCATAGACGCTTGCAGAAATCTTGATCACAAAAGAGACAAATATTAAAGAATTAAGGGGAGATCACTGCGTGGAGATTGCCAATCCCTTTTTTAGTCTCACTCAAAAAGAATTGGCGAAATCAAACAAAATGGAATTTGGAATGGGTATTAGAGGTTATAAAGCCTACTTATAGACAAGCTGTCAAAAGACAAATTTACAAAGCACGTATTATACAGTTTTCAAGTAAGAATACTGGGACAAGAATAAATATTTTGACAAAACGGCGCCAATCCATAAGCAGCGTAATGACGTCATCCTAAGTAAACAACTCATTCATAAACAAGCTGACGATATTTCATACATACACGAATGATAAATGGGGGACTGATGTAAACACAATACGACGTAAGTTTTGATTGTTGAAAACTTGATAAAAAAACGCATATACAAGTAGTCCCTAACCAGTGGTTATTGGCAGTTTAACACCGGTTTTCTTCCTTCTTTGTCTATAGTGACAAAATCACGTGGAGTGATAGAATGTATATTTAAGAAATAACATCGGCCTGAGAGGTGTATATCGGCTATTTAACACCGGTTTGGAGTTTTGATGCCTAGGAATTGACCACGAAGGCCATATGGAAATTATTAAACAAAAGAAATAATAAGAAAATAAAAACGTTATTTTATCAATTTTCAACAATAAAAACTTACGTCGTACTGTGTTTACATCAGTGCCTCATTTATCATTCTTGTCTGTATGAAATAACGTCAGCTTGTTTATGAACGAGTTGTTTACTTAGGATGACGTCATTACGCTGCTTATGGATTGGCGCCGTTTTGTCAAAATATTTATTAACTGATATGGATTTAATATGTGGCGTAAGTGTATGTGAGATATTATTTCGGAATTGTATGAAAAGAAAACATTATACGAACTGAAAATATAAATACAAATGCTTTTTATTGTTGCTTTAAAATGCTTTGTAAACTATACAATCGAGGGTGATTTAAACATAACAGCGCATATAATAAGAATCTTACACTGGCTGCCGGTTCATACCGGAATATCTAGCTCGAGGGTTACTGTTTACTGTTATCCACCGTTTCGGTGGTGCTAGAAAACCCTGTCTTACACCCCCATGTAAGATAAGTCGCGTGCTTTACATGACGTCATTGCTGCGCGCCTTTTATGAATGAATTGCGTTCTTAGAATGACGTCACTTAACCAATATGAATGAAGATGTAAGTTCATACGCTAGGTGTGTAATGAAAATATTAGTCTTCGTTATTTCTGTTCTGAAAATAATTGATATGTAATATACAAGAAAAAGAATCAAACACCGACTGTCGGTGCAGACGGGAATATCTAGCTCTCGGGTAACTGTTTTGCGGTAACTCGGCAGAGCCTCGTTACCGCCGTAAACAGTCACACTCGAGCGAGATATTCTGGTCTGTACGGGCAGCCGGTGTAAGATTTATATATTCTTGCATCTCAGACAGGATTATCTACCGTTTACACCGGTGCTAGAAAACTCTGTCTAATAAACATCCCCCATGTAAGACAAGTCGCGTGCTTTAAATGACGTCATTGACGCGCGCCTTTTATGAATGAATCGCGTTCTTAGGATGACGTCATTTCCGTTATGAATGAAGTTGTAAGTTCATACGCTACTATAAGAAAAAAGTGCGTAATGAGAATATCAGTTTTCATAATTTCTGTTCCGAAAATAATTGACATGTAATATGCAAGAAAAAGAATCAAACACCGGCTGTTGGTACAGACGGGAATATCTAGCTCTCGGGTAACTGTTAAGCGGAAACTCGGCAGAGCCTCGTTACCGCCGTAAACAGTTACCCTCGAGCTAGATATTCCGGTCTGTACCGGCAGCCGGTGTAAGATTCTTATAATATAACATAATGTTTTACTTTTTGAAAGTGATGTCCTGACCGATCATAGGCTTTTTACTTTTCATTTTACCTATTTTGATTAAAGATACTAAATGATTCCTCGGATATTATGATAAAATGGGTCGGTGTTTATGTATATTGTTTGCGTATCACAAACTTTCAGTAGACAGTGAAACTATATCTTGCACGTGAAAACAAAATATCATCAACGGTTGAAAACTTCGCCAGAAAAGTACCCCGTCATAGGTAAATGTGATCAATTGCAGAAAGCACATAAATAGTTGCACATAGCACTTAAAAATGTAACATAATTCGAGAAATTTTACAGAAATATAATTTTTTAAACATGAAGATTTGGACTCAGTCATATAACCTGTAATCACTAACATTGCATATAAAACAAATTGAAAACTAGAAATGTGTCCATAGGATACGGGTGCCCCCACACGCCATGTTCTGTCAATCTTATGACTCTAGGTCAAATATTTTTGGACTACATGTGCCACAAGTTGAAAACTAAAAATCATTTACTAAGAAAAAGGCATGAACTTTACAAATACTGAATAAATCCACAAGCAAACCCCAAGGTGCATAAGTACACATGCTGACCAACATTATTGTAAACTTTCAGGCCTACAAATCAAATAATTTTGAGCTATGCATGAACAAGTTGAAAATTGGAAATTTATACTACTGTAAGTAAAGGGCAATAACTCTAACAAAACTGAAAAAACCACATGCAAAGTCCGAGGTGCATAGCTTTACAGTGATATTGATCATTATTCCTGTTATTTAGTGATGTTGATCATTATTCCTGTAAAGTTGGTTAATTCTAACTCAAGCACTCAAGGAACAAATATCACAACATAATGAAACGTTTTTTACTAAGTCAAGGGCAATAACTCTACAAATACTGGATAAATCCACAAGCGAAACCAAAGGTGCACAACTACATATGCTGATCAACATTCCTGTAAAGTTTCATGACTCTAGGTCAAATCCTTTTTGAGTTACGTGCGACACAAAAGAGAACGGACGCACGGAAGAAGGACGGAAGGACGGACGGACAAGGGTAAATCTAAATGCCCCCACCCCCCTAAAGTGTGGGCACAAAAATAGAGGTCTCATATTATATAATAACAGTGAAATTCCTCGTTGACACCTACTTGTTACATTTTTATTCGTGAAAATATTGTATCGTGTGTTCAATTTTTGATAGAAATATAAATTTTACATGCAATACAAACGAATTTCCTCTATATACAATATTATTAACAACCATATTAAAAACTATCATACCCCTTTTCCAGCTAGAAATTCCATTCCTTTAGCAATGCCCAGACCAAATCGGAATAGGTTTCCTTTAAATTCCACGGAAACGTTGTTTTTTCTTTCGACTAAGTAATCCCTTAATACACCATTCTCGCAGTACTCGTAAATCATAAATGGCCCCACTGAATAACAACAATCATTGTATATGTAACAATCTTTATAAACTAAACTTAAGTTAAGAATGTGTTAAAAATATTCATAATTGGAAATCGTCATTCTTTCTTGGTAAAAAAAATACATGTATGTAAAGCATGTATACACTTCCATACGGAAGGTGCTAAAAATCATAAATTCACTAACAACAATATGTCTCCAAAAAATTTTGGGAGACATAATGACATTATATCAATTCAACTTTTGAGAAATGTTGTCAAGCTCTCTGAACAAGAGACTGGAAGCAGTGGATAATCGCACTGGTCTCAATGGTGTTCCGTTTAGGCCATCGTTTCTTCGCAACAACGATCTAATCAAAGACCAGAACTGGCAAGCTACAAAATGATAAGCAAAACTATCATCACAGTTAACGATAAAAAATGCCGAAGTGGGAATTAACGATACATTTTTTACAATAAGAATAATGTGCCCTTGCATCGTCTCGTCGCTCTATTCTGTCGCGCAGTCCCGTTTAGATGTATTGTCTCTTCGCGTAGGCTTTTCGTCTTGTGGCTTCAGAATTCTTCAAATCATGTCATTAAGTTATGTTCATGTTTCATCATTTTCCTATATTTCACCATTTAATGTGTCATCGCATTATCATATCAACACTTCGACACTTGTTGCTTTAGTTCATCACCATGTCACTTCAGGGAATCGTTCTTGGTGTAATATGTTTGTCTCCCTGGCGCATTGACGCTTCCACGCATCGTCCTGTTGTGTTGTCATCACTTCACTACACCGCAATGTTTCGTCACTTCGGCGCAACTGTGTCGTTTCGGTATATTGTTTGTTTACTTTAGAGCATCGGCTCATTTTGTCCTTTCATTATCATGTCCCCACTTTGCAACATTGGCTTGTCACTTTTGCATATCCTTTTGTCGCTTCAGCAAATCAATCCGTCGTGTAATTGCCTTGACGTTTCAGTGCATCATCTCATTGATTCGGCTATTTACTGCTCCCCTCATTGAACTGTCATTTAATCACATTTATATTACTTTGATACATCGTCTAGTCATTTTGACGCATTGTTCCATTAAAAGGACGATAACACCATGCGATGACAGACACGATGTGTGAGTTCATTTGCTACAATGGATCATCTCGTTTGTTTTTCAGTGTTGCAGGAATATCGGAAGTCGCTGATGCGACGACATGATGAAATATCAGAAATGTTATTTCAAGAAATACATTACATATAAAAACATTAATATATGCCTACGGTGTATGTATGCAACTCCTGCCTTAACATTTAACAAACCTAACACACGCAACCTAGGCATCCCCGACCTTACAAAGAAATGAAATGAATAAACATTAAATTATCCTAGTATGAAGAATCTTACTTTTCTGACCTTAAAATTGAGATCCCTTTAACCTTTGCGTAATGTTATTTCAATATACAACGCACAATTTCACACCTTCAAATATATTGTTACCAATATTGACATTTATGTTCGTTTACTTAACTTAATATTACGCCCTCTCCTCCACTCAATCCAACTTTCAATGCATGTGTCATAAGGACACGTTTAATAGTTAAAAATGAAATCTGTGAAAAGGTAGCACAGTGTATAAGAGTCAAAAAATAAAACACCCGCAGTCAAGCGATCATGGACACCTTATTAAACTTATTCAGACAAACGCCTAGCTGTATTTCAGAAAGTTTAAACTCTGGAAATATTTTGACTTGGTATTACATTGTCCCAACACAGTGATATCATATTTCGGCTTTCCAGATTTACTGACAGAAGAAGACCTCAGGTGCCCTCCGAGCATTATATTAGGCACGAGCGGACAATGATAAGAAACGCCGACGTTCCTTAATCTAGCTGGAAAGCTCCTCACACGAAAGAACCCAACGTTCCTAGCTGAATTTGAACCCATAGCGGTTCAGGCAAAGTGATATGTAGTCAACGACCTTAACCACTCAGCCATGGATGTCTAATGGAAATATAACTGAGCACTTAACTACAGGGGTGTCGAATTTCTGTTAATTCCAAAAAATGAATGTATCATTTTTATAATAATTGTATAGAATATCTGAACTAATCAGTGTTAAAACTTATTAATAGTTAAGAGTCAATAAATAATGCTTGCATCAATAAGACGAGATTTATATCATAATTTACAAGCAATTAGCAAAAACATAGAAAAGCTACCTACTAGTATTATCTTGTACAACAGCGCCAATAAACTCCAGGACATTGGGATGACTTCCGACTTTCTCAACAGTGAAATGGATTTTAGCTTTCATAAGTAACTCGTCTTCAGGTGTAAATTGTTCTATTTCAATGGGAAAGTATTTCAAATGTCATCAAATTAAATTATATTGGCGTAAAACGATCTTTATTGTTTTGAGAATGCACATAAATGTAAAAATCATCTTTGATAACACATATCTAATTTTAAAATTCATGATAAATGCATTTTAGCAAAGAAGTTTAACATGTAACAAAATTGCATTTTCTTCTTACTTACATGTAGTTTGAGAAATACCTTTTAATGTTTTTGCTACAACCAGATCAAGTCTAGCTTTATAGATGTTAGCAAAGTGTCCATTTTTGATCAATGCTTCTAAAGCAATATTGTTCCTGTTTATGTGCCACATATGTGGTGCTTGTACATCCATACCATTGTAAATAAACATTTCACTTTCTTGGTTCTGAAATAAGAGTAAGAAATAACAGATACATGTGATACGTGTTAAAAACCTGCAAGGCTAACCAACTATTATTTTGTATCAAATGTCTTATAATTATGTGATTAGCTTAAATCTTACATCATAATCCATTTTTCCTGATTGAGACCCATCCTGTCTTAGCTCTCCTTGTCCTTTGTGTGTTGTGTTTCTTACCCTCTGGGTGATGGATCTCCGAACACTTCGAAACCTCTTAGCCGGATGTATGTACCCCCGTCTAATTAGGAAGATCATAACAACAATTCCGACAACCAGTATAACCACTGTTCCTATATGCGAAAAAATATTATTTTTTTCTAAATGAATAGAAACATAGTATTTAGGGAATTGCATACGTGCGTGTAGAGAAACAATATAAATTGAGAATTTTCATAAATAGCATGTATAATATATTTTGTAAAATTACAATTACTATTAGGTATTCTTCTCCTGTTGTTATATTCGTAATGAAAACATTTCAATAAGTTTCGCTTGATATGTGTCTTTTTACTTTGTTTTCAATAAAATGAATAATAAACAATTGTTAATTTTTACAATTAAGTGTTAATAATTATTAGCTAAATAATTCACATGTAACCAATATTTTAAGATTGTATTCATAAACAATATTAAGAAGACAAAGTGACCAGTATGGCAAACAATCAAATTTTAAAAATATATACATAACATGGTTCGTACATACCAACAATCACTCCTATTATTAGTCCTATGTTACTTTCTGCTCCATAAGGTCCCTCAATTGATACTAAGATATTAATAAAAAATACCAAAACAATTTTTACCATTTATATTCTTTTCCGGTCAATGCACGTCATATTCTATCATTCTTTTTTTTCTCTTTCTTTCTTAAATTACTTGAGGTAAAAGCTAAACAAACTAATATGTTATCATTCAGTTGTGAAGCAAATGTACTTAAGGTGTAAAAATATACTTACAACCGCATTTTGCCCTTTGTCAAAGATAATTGAAAATCATATACATATCTTCATAAGATCTTTGAAATAACAACAGGTTTGTACCATTTTACAAACAATAGTTATATAAATGGTTATTTAAATCTGGAGCATATTCTTTAATAGTATTTGTGAAAATAAGTGTGCCTTTAAATATTATTTTGTTATAGAAATTCATTAAAAGTAGCCCGGTCATTTATTTTATGTTTTTCAATGGATTACTGATTTATCAGTGAAAATTATATTTGATAATTTCATAGTGAAAATTATCAAAATATAATTTCGCACTTTTCAATGACGAAACTACTTTTTTAAGATTTCCCCCATGTGGTACCTCAATTTTATTTTTGCTGACAAGTCTGACAATGTCAGGCTGTTTAGAGAAAAGAAAAGCTGAAATTGATAAATAATTTAAATGTCAAAAGTAATAAAAAGAAGAAAGCTTACATCTATTCATTCAAATTACCAATCACCAAATATCGTCTCAATTTCTTTTGTTCTGAAAAATAATTCTTTCCACATGCAAAACTGCTATTGATGACATTTGAGCATATTTAAGTATCGTACGAGCAATAACTGCCGTATGCTTTATAAAAACTTGAAAAGCAATGACAGCCATCAACCCGAATAATAAGTAAACAACCCAGCGTTCGTAAAAATTCCAAGTTTTCCAATTTCCTAGACGATTTTTGAATGTTTCCACATCTGTCAACACTTATTTATTGTCTGTTACAATCCTCAAATAAGTTTTGTTTCTTTTAAAAAGGTGTATGACTAACAAATCCAAATGCTATCCCTTTGAATCAAACACAATTATTTTCCTCCAGTGAAATACACAACTTTTAAATATGGCGTCCGCTTACATTTCACAAAGCCAGATATAATATAAATTCGCAGTAAGTAACAGAAAAATGGATGGATGGGTGGACTTTTTCTCCTACTTGAATTGTTTGTTTTTATTATTAAAACAAGCGATAATTCATATTTTTTTTAATAAAATGAATAATAATTATCACCGCCATTTAACTTTGATTGTGGAACTTATTTTTCAGCCCAAGACTTCTTGGATTTTATGAGAAATTCGACTAATACATGTACATAATAGAGGCTACCAGTGGGGAAACAGATTTTAAAATTTACGTTAATATTAAGGAAATTTCGTTTTAACTTGTTTTTAAGCATAAAATAAAAAGAACATTTGTTTGTATGTTGTGTAAGATGTAATACTAATTCATCTCGTGAACTTTAAAAACAGTATTCTCACGAGTGGAAACGCCACTCGTGAGAATACTGTTTTTAAAGCCCACTCGATGAAATAAAAATTCATCTTACACAAAAACAAATATCGTCTATATAATTCAAATTTATGAAGACACAGCCCTACCTGTTTTCACATATAATGAAATATCTGTTTGCTGAATTGCATAAGCTTGTGGTATTTTCATTCCGAAATTGACTTGGTATTCTGTGGCACTATCAAGACCAGTGATATCATAATATTTGCTTGAACCAGAAGTATAATATGTCTGGATCGGATCTTTGCCATCCTTTGTAATGTGAAACATTGAAATAAGAATGACTTATAAAAACGTTATCTGTCTTTGTAAAGGAAGAGACATAACAAGAATCTACAGTACCATGATGATCTCTTAAATTCAATGTTCAAATTGTTTCTGATAATTTCATATTCATAATATGCATATTTAAGCAATTAAAGACCAAATATCTATTGAAGATCTTGGATAATGTAAGACTTAACAAAGAAAATGATTTTATCCCGAACAATGAAAAAACATAGATATGATTCTTGAATATTGAACAAAGCAAATTGTAACCTAAAACAGGACGCATTTCATTTAAAATCAACCAAAAAGCTATAGCTTTTAAAAAGTGATCTCAATTTTATTTCGAAAACATGGATTTAAGTTGTTAGTGAATATAACCATGAATCTTTAAAATAAATGTTGCATGTAAAACATAAACAAAAATATTTTATGTTCACAAAGGGCCATAATTCAGAGTAATGGGTTTTAGATAATGACCTCCAATTATGATTTTTAAGACGTGATTTAAGTTTAAATAGTGTTAAATTGATGTTGGATGCCAAACTTTATCCAAGTTCAAATCAATGCCTTGCATTATGATCTCAATTATGATCCGAAATAGACGTTTTAAGAGATAATTCCAATTGTTTTGAAGATTGGTGTTGCATGTAAAACATGAACCAAGTAAATTCTTCCTTGTTTGTGAAATAACAAGACAATAATCTGTAGTGGACGGTAAGATATAACGTTGCATAAACGTTCTTCTTAAAACTTTAACCGATGTCGAGCAAAGGCATCCTTATACGCAACTATATACAATATACAATAAAAAGAAATACCCCTCCCTAAAAAAACAAAACAAAAACAAAACAAAAAACACGCACACACACAGGTGAATCGATATATGCTATCGCATTGCATATGCTGCAGTGGCATAAAAAAAGAAAACTGTATTATCAACAGAAGGATGCTCATCACTTTTGAACGAAAAAAAGCAACCTTTACTGCTTAAGTTAGAAGTTGCATTAATCCAACTCTAAATCTTTAGGTAAAACCATTCTTTTAATGAATTTGTGATCAATTTTGAATAAAATTTAGTATGACTCTTTATATTTTCCTCATATGAAAGAAAAACAAAAACAAAAGAAACCATTACAGTAACATTACCTTTTTAAGGAGAATCAATACTGTTTCCGTCTTTTCACAACAGGATGCAGTCTTAGGAATGTCCCAGGCGACACGGAAGCCGTCTGTGGTTGGAGATTCTATACGTATATTTTCAGGATCTAAATTTTACAACAATATGATTCAATATGTGTGTATATCCTTTATAAAAAAATAATAAAATAGAAAATGATATTAACAGTTTAACAAATTTAAACAAAGTTTCACAAAACTCACATTTTTCGATTCCCTGAAGATTTTTCACAGGTCCAATCTGAAAATATCAACAATGCAATGCAATACTGAAGAAGCGAAAATATGTCAAGATAGATATTTTGTGTTTAAAATTTATTCTAATGATAAGAAAATATTTTGTTACGTTCATTTATTTTGAATGTAACATTTATTCGAAATGTAAGAAGTGATTTCGTCAACAGCAATATGGATTTTGTAAAGCATATATTCATAGTGACAAAAAAGACTTCGTTGTGTTTAACATTTTATCAAAATCTAGTGAAGGATTTAGTCGTGTGTGATATATCTAAATGTAAGGGATGATTTGCTTATGTGAAGCATTTATTTAGTTGTAAAAAAGTATTTCGTCGTGTATTGCATTAATTTCATTGTATGGAAGGATTATGTCGGGTGTAATAAGACTTTCGTTGCGGGAAACATTGTTGTAAAACTAAAGAAAGATTTCGTCGTGTGTATTCTTATAGATGTTGTAATGAAAGTTTTCGGGCTAGGTATCATTTACAGTCAAGACTGCCTAAGCGACCCCCTGATTTTAACGACTCCCTGTCTTATCCGACCTTGTTTCAGTACTCCCAACTTGTTTTCCTATGTAAATGGTCTGAATTAAACGACTCCCTGTCATATGTGACAAGCGACCCTAATTGTCTGGTCCCAATGCAATGTTTGGTCTGATTTAAACGACTTTCACACCTTTTATTTGTCCGTTAATCAGATAAATAATACCTATTATAACACCCCAGAGGGCCAAAATAATTAAGTCCAATTATAATCCAGTAGCAAACAAAGTCTACACACCTCTATCTCAATTACACAGTTAACATGTATACAGTACAGGTATCGAGTGACGTAGCGAAGCATTATGCAATCGATGTGTGTGTAATGTACATTATGGCCTGAGTAAACTGGGCTAAGACTTGTGTTAGATTTTTTTTTAATTATAGAGTGCCAGCGGAAGATTTTTTAGGCAGAATTTTTTTAATTTACCTTTCTATGGCTGCATAATTAATACGGAAAAAATATTGATACCAAACCAGAAAAAGCTTTGGATATGGATATGTTTAAAGATCCTGTAACACATTTTTTTCATGGTTTTATTTCATAAATATGATGCTAAAATTAAGATTTGTCAATATCGTAAGTTCAAATAAGCATTATTTATAAAGATATCACCCAATTTAACATTTCATGTAAATAAAGGCCATTAAAGGGAGGTAATTAGAACTTTATTTTCTATAAATTCTATGTCAAATTTTCCAATAAGAAATCAATGCATGTAATTTATTGATTAATTATAATGTGCACAAATATTTGCAGTACACATTTTACATATTCTTTGATGTTTGAAAATTGTTTTATTTGCATAATTATATCCATATATATTTTTTTGCAAGTGTGGTCTAAACACAGTAACAATATCAATCACAAAACATAATGATACAGGATCTTTAAGTCACAATGGTATATAGACAGATAGATGATATTTAAATTTAATTTTCTTTGAGACAGTATTTAGAGACTCCCTGTCATATGTGACCTTTTTCTGAAGGTCCCTTGGAAAGTCACATATAAACAGTCTCGACTGTAATTGTAAGGAAGGATCTTATCATATGCGATATTTATTCTAAACGTAATGAAAGATTTCGTCACGTGTAGCATTTATTCTATTTCAAAAGAAAGTTTGATCATATGTAATTTTTAACCACTGCGGGATGTTTTCGGATACATTTGCATCTTTCTGTTACGCACAAAAATCTTTATATGATTAAGACTTGTCTGGGATGCTTACCTTCTGAAATTTGCTCGAAAAACGGAATGAATTCTTATTTATAACCAAAATGGTTAATAATAGCTCAGTCCGTCATCCTGAATGATGACAAATCCAAGCCACGGCGAGATCTTTTCCGAGGCTTATACATCTTCCTGTTACGAGCTAAGATCTTCGTAAGCAAGAAAGTATTTCGCTGTGTATTTTTTTTGTTCTTTATGAACGGAAAGATTGTTGTCTTGCACGTTTTTTTTGCAATTGTAAAGTAGGATTTAGTCATGCATAGTACGCGTATATTTTAAATGTATATTATTTATTAAAACGTTAGGCAGGCTTACGTCGTGGTTAACATTTATTGTAACCATTACGCATGTTTTCTTTATATGCTTTCGTCATGTAAAGCACTTATTTTAAATGTAAGGCCAGATTACGCATTTATTTCTCCTAAATTCTGAGGATTTAATGATATTTTCCATTAAGCAAACAAACGTTAGAAAGGATTTCGACATGTTAAATATTTACTCTATATGTAAGAAAGATTGTTGTGTAATGCATTGATTCTAAATTTAAGGAAATATTTGATCATGCATAGTATTTACGACAATAATGATTTACGTCATGTAAAGTATTTATTATAAATGTTAGAAAGGATTTTGTCTTGAATAACATTTAAAAATGTTAGAAATTTGAAATGTAAGAAATTGTTTCCTATTGGTAAGTATGTATTGTAAATAAAAGAAAACGATTTCGTCGTGTCTTAATGCAAGGAAGGATTTCTTTATCTATAGCATTCATTTTAAAGGCACATTATGTCTCAGAAACGAATATTGTTTCCTTCTTAAAAAGAATAAATATGAGTATCATAACGTTAAAATATGGTTTTAGAGCATGTAAGATGTAAAAGTAATGCTGTTTGTGAAATTATAAACAAAGTAGTATTTTGACTTCTATAAAAAATTTTAATCACTATAAATGTACTATAGACTATCAAAAACGGCAATGAGTACCAGTATCATTTTGGAAACTATAACAGAACATCAAATATGGAAAGCTTTTGAAAAATAAACGTAAAAGAATTTTTAAGTTTGACGGGTATTTGAGCTTAAGATTAACTTTAGGACGAATTCGTGTTTTAAGCATTCATTATATGCTTGAAGACATTCAAAACAAAATCAAGCTACACATTTTAGACATACACTAGTTTAGCTTGGCATTACAATACTCTCTTCACAATCTATTTCATATGTTGATCTAAATTACTCAAAGGAAAATTAAAAACTATATCTATTTGATTTTATTGGCCATACTGTATGGCCAATCACATATGTTTCTTTATCTTATTTAATTTTGTATCACAATAATCGTCAATATTTGTTTACTTTTTATCTTTCTTGGGTACTTACGTCAAACGTCACGGATTTATTTAGTAGGGCTTGGTTATACGCATAAACTTCAACAGAAGCTGTACTATTGTCAAGATCACTCTTGCTGACCATGAACCAGCAGTTATCCAAATATAAATTCTGGTACGGTTTAAAACACATCCCTTCTATCACAAAACAGAGTGGGTCTTCAGTGGACTGAAAAAAGACCAAAAACAACACATTCTTGTAAAATAATCTAAAAATAAAAGTGTCTATGAATGTTAAATAGTGATACTGCATTAACGAAGTGATCTCAATTTAAAAAAAGCTGGCTACATAATTTATATGGTTAAATAAAATAATGATATTTCGTTATTTTTATTTTCATTAATTCTATAGAACACATTATTCAAATTTCATTGATACCAAAGAAAATCTTAAGTTAAGCCGTTTTCAACTACAATTATTTTCTTTAATTTGTTCCCAAATATCAATTACTTATGGCACTACAATTATGAAATGATGAGAAGAAAGGAAATGACAAATAGCAACCGGTCATAGCAAACAAATAGAATCCCCGAGAATATGCCAAAGTGTCTGGCTAATGAAGAGGGTAAAAGTCAGCATTTATAACATCAAAATTACTTGTTCAACTTATAATTGCTGTTTTCTGGTATTATATTTGATTACTATATATTTTCTTTTGCAGGACATATTCATCAATTTCCTTCAGAAAATGTTTTAAATCTTTTGCAATTTATTTTTAATCCTTACCCCCCCCCCCCCCCCGAGAATACAAAAAAAAACCCAGGATATTAATGCAATATGAATGTATGCAAACCAAAGTACATTTGAAATCGAAGCTGGTGCAAAGCCTTCATATATAACCCTGTCTTCCTTGTCTGTAGTTTTAATTGTGATAGAAAATCCAATCTTATGTACGCCACTCTCTTTGTCAGAGGCAAGGAACTTTATCCTAAAATAAATGTAGATGTTCACTTTTTGCAACGTTAATTTCCCAAACGCCAGTATGTACTATTACTGATTAAGCAGGTGTAAGGTGTAACTACGAATTTTTACTTTACATAAGCAACATATTTAACCTACAATCTTACTGCATGGTACAGCCAGAAAACAAGATGGTTGTCATTATTTTTGTTCGAAAAACTAGTGCATATGGCTATCACAAGTGTGTTTTAAGCACCAAAGATTTAACTTCGCTCTTAAAACATCATTTGGTTGTATAGTTATGGAAGCAACCTGTAAAACAGTGGAAGATTTAGCTTAGGGAGTATATTTATCTGAACGGAACAAGCAAACGATTTAAGCATATAACAAAGGATGATTCAAAGAACTTACTTTATTTGTGGAACACAGTTCTAAAACACTATTTAAAATTAAAACATTGAATGTGCTCATTGTAAAGATAGATAATTAAAAAGCTTTGTTTCTGATAAGATAATATCTATGTATTTTTAAAGCTGGTAGATGTCATTATATGCTCAAATAATGAACATCAATACTTTCTCTTAAGAAAAAGCTAAGGTTAACAACATTTCCTTGGCGTGGTATTTATTTCAAATGTTATTCACTTACCATTGCGTTATTTATATATAATTTTACCTCACTTAATTAATTAACTCTATAACTGTATATTAATATATTTTAACTTGACTGCACATGTCAGATATTAAAATCATACAATAAGAAACTCGTATTTGATATTTATAATCTAAAAGAAAATTTGGATATTTTCAATTCATGTTTTAAATTTTCAATTAATTTATTACCAATTGACCAATTATGAAAGAATATAGTGAGTTATGATGGTACAATAATAATAGACCTTGTTATATCAAAAATTCAAACAACACACATATAGAAAATTGAAATAAAATACATGCTGCTATTTACAAATCTATTTCGAAGACGGTATTAAATATGACCAGTTAATTGTGTTATTGACCTCTTAAACGTTTACTATGCCAATTTTATCCAACCGTTAAACATGAATAATAGTAGTATTCAGAACTAAACTAAGGCTCTTGAAGACGAATTATCTACACTAAAGTATGAATTTGTAAAAAGCTTAGCTCCTGTCACTAGCTTTATTCAGAATGAATATTTACTGGGTTTTTTTGAAGGTATTTTAAAGGTCACAACGTAAAACGATAGCAATAAAATTCAATTGCATGTTAATTATCATAACGTATTGATAGTTTACGGTGAAAGGTTGCATCCTGAACGGAAATAAGATAATTGGTAATTAAGGAGAAAATACTTTTCTTTCATCAACATTTAAACGATATCATTATTCTAAACAAGATAATTCAATTCAAATGAATACCTTGAAATTTATCTAAACATAGCCAAAACATATACATTATGCATGTAATTTTTAAGACATTGTTTCATAATTTATTGTTTATGTAAGAATTAAACAAGGAGTATTAGAGAAATAAAAATAACAGCGTATTATGTTTTATGTAACAATAAACTATTTATTTAGAAATTCCTTTATTTGATAAAAACCCTTTTTTTGGACATTAAAATTTCTATTTTCATAATATTTTGAACGGACCGACTGAATACTGGAGCTACACTTTGAAGACAAAGGCGTTTTGCATTTGGTTACACGGTAACATTACATCCTGGCATTTAACTTCACTTTTAGTGGGGTGAATGAAAATAAACCTTACCTTGAAGAGAAATTAAATTTCGTACTTTCAATGTTCGGTTCAAACATGTGACCATCACCGCGAGTAGATATAGTAGGTTCTGTGTTATCAAACCTTACCAAAGTACTGTCTGTTTTTACATTTCCCATTACATCTGTTGCTCGGACCCACACGCGTACACGGCTTCCTGTTATTATAATTCATTACGTGTAACGTTTAATATGTGATTGTATATGTACGTCTCTACAGGTTATTGTTTTATACCCTGAGACAGGGTATTGATTTATAACCCTGATAGCGTTCAAAATATGTATAGAATATCGTGGCATATTTCTGTCACCAATTAAAATAATTATTAACAGGACAATTAAGTTTCAACAAGTTGAAGAAATCTTCCATCTTAAACGTAAAAAGTCATAAGAAGTTATGTAAATTAATAATGCAAGTATAAAGTTTACCCTCCTGTAGCTTCAACTGAATTGAGGTTTTCTCTTGAAATGGGTACAGAATTTTCCATGTGGACTTTGGTTCCTCGTCATCTATTGATAAAACAGTTGCTACTTCAAATTTTACGATTCCGTGATAATTTTCAATAGCGTCAAGAGTTCGATTTCCTTCATTGTCGTCTAAGGAATCTTGTACGAATCTATAAAACGACACATGTACAATTTGGGAGATTAAATTAATTTTTTAGATAAGCAAATGTAGATTTTTATTTTTTCTGCAATAATATCCCAATCAATAATAAGAAAGCTTATCCAATAATTGTAGTGTTATAGTATGCCTGATCTTATATAACTCAATATCAGTAAGTCAACTCAGTATAAATTTCAAACGTCATTAATGCATTTATTTCTTATTTATACAATTATTAATGATAAATGATAAGAATGATCATTACTTAAATTTCAAATATTGCAAAAAGGATACTTGTTCAATGTCTTATTCTGATTTTTTTTATATCTCGCTTGGATTTAAACGAGTGGAACCACTCACGCCATTGTTGATTGTTTTATTTGTAAATGATATAAGTAATATTGTTTATTTGTCATAACTGTCAGATGAGAACACCCATGTGTCATTTATGTATTGTTTACTATTAGCTGATGATATTGCTTCATTTATAACCAAATCAAATAGTCTTCAAAACCAGACTGATAATCTGTATGAATATTCTAAGAAATAGGCATTAAAATTAATGTCAACAATACTAAAACTGTATATTATGAAAAACATGAACATGGTCAATCAACGGAGAAAATATTGAAATTGTCGATTCCTTTCGATATCTTTTTGTTAAATTTTTGTACACAGGTAATGTTATAACAATATTTATAAAACACACTGAATTTAATTATCTATGATTAAAGCATTTAAAATAGTGGTATGCTTATGTGCTTTACACAAATTATAAGGAGTGGAACGTACGTTACCTAAACTGCACTGACGAATGCTTGAATTATTTGAATGTTAAGAGGGAAAGAAGCCTACTCTAATATTTCAATAAACCTATATTACTTATAAAACAATATATAACATAATAGAAAACATATATCATTGTTCTGAAGACAACAGTTGTGTATTTTGACAGAGACTTTAAGAGGTAACAAATATAGGCGAGTTTTCACTTATCTGAAAATGTTTATTATTTTCCAGACGTTTACTTTGTCCCAAATGACAGGGATGCTCTACTGTTTATCCCTTAAGCTTCTAACATCTGGTAATGACTTTATTAAATGAAATTACAATAACTCAGGGTGATGAAGGTGGCCATGTATCCCGCAGAAGACATATCAGAATTAGGCATTATCATTAAGTCTTTATGTACTATAATGATAACCTTTGTAAGAACTTTTTAAAACATGTATGAAAATACATATTTTCATATACACTAGATCTTTTTTCAAAAATAACAACACCTGCGTACAATATATGCCTCTTAACCTAGGTATCATGGATTCAAGCCTATAATTCATCAGATAAACAAGTTCTAGTAAGCAGACTCGAGGGCGCTTTTGATGAATTTCATGACTTTTATTCTCGAACTAAAAAACGTTTAAACTAAAATAATCAAAGTGAGACGGTAACAAAATACATGTATTTACTTTTGACTATAAAGTATGCCATCATCTTCAATTTCCTTGAATTGGATTGGATATGAGTCAACACGATAAAGCAACTTGTTGTCTTCAATAATCTTATTAATAAAATGTTTTGACCAGGCTACATCGATAGTTACATCATTCCCTGAAAAAGATGGTGGTACAAATAATAATGGTTAACAATAAAACACTTGAAATATCGTTATTTTTTCATTATAATTAAATCCTTTTGTTTAAATAGCGATTTAAGTTTCATATAATTTTTATTTTAAAAGTTGTCTTTCTCCAGAAAGTGAATAACAAGAATATCGCTGAAGGCGATCGATGCTCCCTGAATCCCCCTCCCATTATTCAATAAACTCTGTACGAGCAAAAGTGTCTTAATTTAATGTAGCATTATCGATCTTGGACATCCAATTTCCTCTCTCTGGTTTGTGTTAATAAAATTCTTTACTACTTTTCAAGTTGCTTCACACACCCACAAAAAAGTAAAATTATGCATGATAAAGGGAGAAAAACGGGTCAAAGTGGTTATTGATTATACATATTAAAATAATTTGTAATTACTTGAAATAAATTGTGGCAAAATAGAAAGTTATTTTGATTGTTACTTATACACTCACAAAATACACTTTAATTAACGCATTGTCACTTTAATCATTTATAGAGATGTCACTTTAATCATTTATAGAGAGAGATAATTAAAAAAACTAAACATTATAAAAAATGTAGTTTTTTAACAGTGCATGCATTATTTAGTACATGTTTAATCAGGAATCATCAGTCCGTAAGGGCACAAAAATCAGCTTTCACAGTCGAGTACTACAGAACCCGGACATGTCATCAGTCATGCACTTACAGGGTTAATTTTGATTTGTTTGTTTATTTGTTTACACAGTAAAGGTCATATGGCGGCGTTCCAGCTTTACTGGTGGAGGAAGAGCTCAAGTGCCCTTCCGTCGGGATTCGATTCCATAGTGGTGAGTGGCAAGTGGGCGACATTAACCACTCAATCCACGGACACCCCTGGTTAATTTAAGGCACAAAGTGGTGACATTTTATCTCCATGCAATTTTACGGAGTAATACTCAAAGATACGAGTTTTAAGCCAGAGGTAGGTCACTGTACATACTGTGACCAACGAGAGCATAAATGTACAGTAATCTGAGACAATATATGAAAAGGCGGATCTAGCACTACACTTTCTCTTATTAGTCTTTATAAATGTGTGAACTATTGATGAGATACCAGTTATTCTATGGACAATCATTATTTATTTTTTCAGTTTATATAAGGGATGTAATTTAAAAATTAAGCCAGTTAGAATGTATGCTTTTATACACTGCACATCCTGTCATAAATATCCATCACTGTGTAAATTGTTATTCATTAACTTTAAATTTATTCTCAGGAAAAAAAGTTTAAGTCTTGTAAAAGGAGATTAAAACAAATATGGTTTTTTAGCACTGTGCGTTAAGCTTCAGATAGTTTAGGCATTATAATCTGTAAAAGCATTATTTAACACTTTTTAGTATAATATTTGTAGATAACTAAATAAAAAAATAAGCAATGTAAAATTATGTTTTTTGACACTGTTCTTCTTGTCACCACTATCTATGACTGTGTGGCATTTAATTCAAATTTCTTTTAAATATTTCAAGTTATTTCAGACGGGCGGAAAGACGGATTAGGCGGCGACTATTATGTTCTTCTTACGGGGAGCATTGAAATATTAAGTCAATGTAAAACGAAAAACTTATGCCTGGCAATATCACTTTGACAACTGTAATTCAACTGTAATTCAATAACAAAAGGTAAACAGTGATTACTGTCACACAAATGAGCTGAATATAAGGTTTTTCGAATGACAACAAATAGTTGGAATAATATTTTTTGTAAGGATATCTAAAACATATTTACAGAAAAATATTTTTTTTAAATAATTACTCACATTCACTTGAAGTCTGCCACATATACCCAGTTTCATTAACAGCTGAACTCACGTACAGTTTTCCGTCAGGGTTTTCATTGAGGGTAATGTCCGATTGGTCATCAAATAATACAAGTCTTCGGGCTATTCTTGAGTTATTTGCGAAATCTCTAGTTTCCATCAGAACACTTGTTATTTGTAAAAGAAATAACATTTATTTATATATTGTACAGGTCAAACGAAATAAAACTACTTAGGCGAACGTTGTTTGGTATGAGGTAAAAACACAACACATTGGTTTGAATAAAATAGGGTATTTATTAAAAAAAGGCAAGAATGAAGATCAACAAGGCAAAGGAAAAACCATAAATGACAAATGTTGCATAATAACAAATATGGTATGTATTACTAGTATGTATATAGTTATATCGAAAAGACCAATATGGGATGTAAAAACCCCCAAAAAGGAAAACCTGCAACCACCCAGAGAGACTTGACTAGGATAAGAGCTTGACCCGTTTTAAAGATTGCTACACATATACTTATTAAAACAGTTTACTTGAATTATCATGTGTAACAATATCTCAATTAATGAAAACATTTGTAAAAGCAACGTATGCTATTTGGGAGGGCCTTCGATAATGTTGTTATAACTTTTGGCCCAACCCTATTGTATATTTACATTACCAAGGAACCTTTTGGTTCCTTCAAAATGTAGCCTACAGCTTTGAACTGTCAGGAAAGTAAAGCAGGAACTGAATTCGTAGTTTGTAGACAAATGGTATAATGTAAAACTGCAGAAAACAGTGGAATAAAACTTATGTACAAATTAATGACATTAGACTTCTGACTAAAATTGTTACAGAAACAATAAAAAAATAAAAGCATTTGAACATGACGAATGACATAAAGACCTTAATTAACATATACACACATAATTTTTACATCAATTAATTCAACTGTTAATACTAAAGTTGGTTGGAGTTCAAGTAGTAGTTTAAACCTAACCTGTATTTATCAGTGAAAGTTATAATTACGTAACCTGCAGCCTCGTACTGTCTGATTAATATAACCTAATTGAAGCCAATTTGTTCATATATGAGTCACATGGTTTTTACGATATAATTACTATGATGCAGAGTAAAAGAGCTAAACCAAGTTCTTTCAGCAAAGAGTAAAACTGCATCTTAGAATATAAAGAAAATTTCATAAAAACAAATCAAAAACTGTTATCCAGAGGCATCAGATTTATGTATTAGGCGGTTTTAATATTACATTTAATTGGATGTATATAGGGTAATTTGTAAAACGGATGTATTTATGATATGCTGTAGACTTCCATCGACTTAACTTTTGCATTTGCGATGCTGACATATTTTAGGCATGGGTAGCCACTCCAATACGAAAAGAGTGCACTATATAAGTTTGGGTCCATGTTATTTGCCATTACACAAAAACGTAAAGCTGACCGATAGAAACCAATGGAGAAAAGCTGACAATTACGATCTCTGAACAGTTGATTATTACGACCAGAAGCTATTCATAAAACCTAAATAGAGCATGTACTAGGCATAAAATGTGTTACCTTGGCGTGCGAGAGGAACTTCTGATAACATATGTTGCCTTTGGAGTGTTTATTGTTACGCATTGTAATGGATAAAGAGGAGTTATTGACCCTGTTTATTAGAAAACTGAATCCTCTCGCCGAATAACGTTTTGAGAACCTGTTAATGAATGAGCTAGTTGAACAAATATAATGAAACAACGTTTGATAAATGATTCAACAGTCTGAAACTAGAACTGCCACTATCATGGCGTGAATACCCCCGCATACCACTTTGTCAGAATCAACAGTGGCCATATAGAGCTCAAGGACAACCTCCCTGCCAAATCTGAGGTTACTAAGCCAGTGCATTGCTAAGTTATGTATTCTACATGCTTCAAATGTGAAAATGTCAAAATCAATACATTGCGGACAGGACATTCTTTAGCAATTGAGAAGAAAAGCTTTTTTTGTCAAGGTCCCTGTGACCTTTGACCCAGTGACCTCAAAATCAATAGGGGTCACCTTATAGTCATGATCAACATCTATGCCAAATATGAAGACTATGGGTCAAAGGAATCTTAAGGGGTGGACAAACTTTTTGAAGTCAAAGTCCCTATGACCTTGACCTTTGATCCAGTGACCTCAAAATCAAAAGGGGTCATCTACTAATCATGATCAACATCCATGCCAAATATGAAGACTGTGGGTCAAAGTAATCTAAAGTTATTGGGCAGACAAACTTTTTAAAGTCAAAGTCCCTGTGACCTTGACCTTTGACCTGGTGACCTCAAAATCAATAGGGGTCATCTACTAATCATGACTAACCTCCATGCCAAATATGAAAACTATGGGTCAAAGGAATCTTAAGTTATTGGGCGGACAAGCTTTTTGAAGTCAAGGCCCCTGTGACCTTGACCTTTGACCTGGTGACCTCAAAATCAATAGGGGTCATCTACTAATCATGACTTACCTCCATGCCAAATATGAAGACTGTGGGTCAAAGGAATCTTAAGTTATTGGGCGGACAAGCTTTTTGAAGTCAAGGCCCCTGTGACCTTGACCTTTGACCTAGTGACCTCAAAATCAATAGGGGTCATCTACTAATCATGACTAACCTCTATGCCAAATATGAGGACTGTGGGTCAAAGGAATCTTAAGTTATTGGGCGGACAAGAAAAAACCGACGGACGGACGGCCGGACGGACGGACAGCCGGACGGACAAGCTGATTCCAGTATACCCCCCTTACAACTTTGTTGTGCGGGGGTATAAAAAGATTGAAAAATAAATAATCGACGATGATTACAGTACCGACAACTTAACAAAATTGTTTTCTTACCTGTACATGCCCGGTTCTTCCGGCTTGTAAGAAGGATAGGCAATGTTTCTATTGTGTGGAATGGTTTCCTTAAATACAGGCTTCAAAGGTTCTGCTTCGATAAGTTTGTCATATCGATCTGGTGTTAGTTTAAACACTTCTATGTAATATTCCCAAACGCCACATAGTTCGTCAATCCATTCGGACCAGAGAATCTTTATAGGGTCCTGAATTAAAAGAACAACAAATAGATATTCAACCCTTTTAAATGAAGTATCCGTTCAATCTTATTTCCGTTAAGCAAACTGGATTGTAATAGTCGTAGAAAACGTAAAAGACAAATCGTATGTTTCATTTTACAAATGACAGTATCTCGTTAAAATGATTTATGATAAATATCACAAAGTCATGTTGTAATGAAAGTTTAAGTTTCTTTGAGAATTAACACATAGTATTGTTACAAGTTGAGTATATTAATATTTGAGTAATGAAATGTTGTTGTGAACTGAACAATTTACTTGTCTTGACATAATTTTTATTCAATATATATCATAATACTAAAATATATTTCTTATACTAGGTCAGAACTTTAAACTGACAAAGAATGTGTAAATTTGACTTAAAATTTAATTTTTGTGCTAGAGTATATGAATATAAAGAAACGAAGAATTCTTATTATTTAGTTCTGGATAGAAGTAAAAGCATGATTAATCAACCTGAATATTTGTTTAAAACGCATCGGTGTACAAATAGATGAATATTTACAAATATTTTCACTATATTTCTATGTAAACGACGTCCTAATGTTGATGTTTCCAAAACGTAGCTCAAGATCATTTATGGTCTTTTTATTAACATTTTATTTCGGTTGTATTTACCTTTGTGAATTCCTTTTCAACACGAAGTATATCTGATGCTGAATTGCATGTCTTTGTTTCTAGACAATGTTTAGGTGCAATAAAGTCGAAATTGAACTGTACCTTTAGAATGCATAAAATTAAAAATTATGAAAAGAACAATTTAAAAAACAAGAGTGTCAAATGTTAAATTGCAAAAATCAAAAAATCTAAATACAATGCATTAATTAAAAACAAATACTAGATCTATCTAAGAACATTAAAATCTTTCTCTTTATATTTAAATTTTAAAATGTTTATATCTTGTTTTGTCTTCGTAACAATCAAGTTGTAATGAAATTTTATGTATCTTCGAGAATCAACACATATTGTTGCAACAAGTTGAGCAAATGAATATTACTAGTATATAAACCACGTTACTGAATAGTTTTTACAATTTTCTTGCATTCACATAAAATGCAAGTAATGCTTGTATAACAATGGCTTAAATTATTTCCTGTAGCTAGAAAAACAAGAGCCACTGCGCTCGACTTTTTTTTAAAACTCTTTCCAAAAGCAAAAAACAAAACGGTCTAGTCACACTAGTTTTGTTGAAGTATGAATCCTTTCTTTAAATAAAAGCTCAAGGTCATTTATGAATGAAGGTCAATGTTATGATCATGGTACAAGATTGCTGACGGCAGCTGACATGACTGTAACAATACCTCTTTTTTTCTAAAAACAAAATCGAGCTAAAAGCAACATATTTTCTACATACAAATTTCAATATAAGAATAATGATAAGAATATTGATGTTGTTCTTTTTCTTCAAAGTAAAACAACTTTTATTTTAGAGTAGATGTATCTATTTCGGTGTCCCTATTACTTGTTTTTACGTTTGACTTTATAAACTGTTTCATCATAGCAAATTTTGGCAGTATTATTAAAAGAATCGCAAAATAGAAATAGAAATAAAATTATAATGAATAGTATCAAATCAACGAACTACTTATAAACGTTTCATTTTTAAACAGTCTTGACGAATAAGTGAAATAAAAAAAAAACATTGTAAAAAAAACTTTGTTTGCTGGGCCTGGTTTCAAAAACAAGAACAATTGTGATAACTAGAGATAGGACTAAAGTGGTTGCATAACCCCACCTACCATATCATTGCGTTTATGGGTCTTTTATAAACTAAACATACAAATAGAAGAATTTATTACGTACTTAATAATTCCGGTATAGTTCACTCTTACTCTCAATGTAATTTTATACTTAATGTCATTTTAGATTTAAAAAGAATTGTTTAAACAATAAAAGTTTAATCAAAACGAAATTTGAAATCAAAACTAACGGAGTTTACAAATGAGAACGTTCTTTTGGTAATAAAAGCACGGATTTGCAACACGTACAGAGGATAATACTGAAAAACGCTGAAAAAAAGTAACCTTTCTTAAGTAAAAATATGTTCCTTACAATTGACAGAATAATCATTCAATGGTTATTGATGGTAAAAAATGAAGCAGATGAATGTGATCCTAAATGAACGTATTTCAGTAATGGAACTGAGTTCAGTAATGTTTCTTACACAAACATTTACGCTGTCGGTAAGCAATTATATTTATAAATACTTGATTAATATGTATCTTTATTTCAAAAAGCCAGTAGACCAGAATGGTCCATGATGCAACATTTTTACAATATATACAATTACATAGGTCACATGACATCAATTGTTTACTTTTTCATGCATAATAAACATACTCATACAAAAATAAGCCTTGAAACAGACTTATCATTGTAAAAGATATACTTATTTGCATATTAGCCATTGAAAAGGACAATACATTTTTAAACCTAAACTGTTTACAAAGGAGGATAAACACACAGGGAGTTGAAAACTGCTGCAAAATGTATGCCTGTATATATCGTAATGTATTGGGAGAAGACATATGATTAATTTTGATACAAAGCTTCATGTCGGCTTTTGAATGCTTTATAAATATATAGTCCTAAATTAAATATAACATATTCATTTTGACATTTCAACAATTCTATGACTTTGAATATACCGGGTTTAATTACATAATATTGTGGTATTAACCTTTTTCTCAGAACATTATATTTAGAGCAACATATTACAAAATGATATTCATCTTCAAACATATTACATACAGTGTCTACACAATCTATTACTGATATCAACTCTATGTCTAGACCATCTACCAGTTTCTATTACAAGTCTATGAGAAGACAAACGTTATCTAGTAAGTGCATGTCGCACATGTTTAGTTTTTATAAAGTTAAGATATGGATGGAAACTAAAATCCGAAATATTCCTATTAAATAATGCTCTAGATGACTCTTCTTATCTTGAATTCCATTTGTGTACATACACATCAGACAGGCGTTTAAACAATTCTAAAAACACATTGACATTTGCAACTCCTTGAAATAACCATACATGATAAAAACCATACTAACTTAATAAACGTTTCACCTGCTTTGCCCAATTAAGAGTATTTGGGTTTCTTTCTATTGTATTTATCATATCTTTATGAACTATTTTAACATATTTCCTATCGTTTAAACGTAGAACTTTAAACAACTATTTAACAATTTAAGTAAACATCTTGTTCTGCATGGTAGTCTACCTATTTCACCATAAACAAAATATTTTTACAGTTCTTTTTAACACTAAGGACCATTTTACAAAACTTGTATTAACATTCCTGGAGAGAATATTTGGATTTGAAGTTGTGGCTATCACAGGTCCATTTCATGAATCATTCTGTGTTGCAGATAAATTGACAGGTTTTACAGCTTTTGGATATACTGCAGTTTGCGAGGAGGGCTGAGGATCCGAAACATGAGCATTGGACGTGGTTACAGCATCAGCGTATGTATGTGCATGCGTTCTGTGTACAGATTGTATTGTACATATATCAGATGTTGAAATATTTTCACCAGCACGTACGCTTTGAGAAGAGTCACTGTACGTATCATGTACTTGAAAATTATTTACAACAACGTTATTTCTTGGACGTATGTGTTGAAAAGACAGGTTCGGTTTCTTCATATGCACTACTTCATTCCACTGTTGGAACACATCAGCCACCACTTGACCATTCACAATCAGCTTTGCTGGATATACAATGGAAACACGGGTTTGAGGGGTTTTCAGAGCGTCTTTATAACTTTTTCATAAGCGTTTACGGGCTTCAACAATTTCTGATGGGAAGTCTCTGTGAATCGTGTGTGGTGAATTTTTACATTTGTAAACATTGTTCATAACATACTGAACATCAGCATAGCTCCCAAAACACACAAATATAGATCGCGACCATTACGACCCTGTAGTGTGCCTAGCCAACGAGAACGTTCAATTGGGAGCATCGTAGAGTGTCGAGTTGCAATTCCAGGAATCTACAGACTATATCAGAACAACTTTCAGGAATTCCAGAGCAGAACTTGATGAATATCAGATTGTTACTACGAGAGCGAGCCTCTAAATCTATCTGTTTTTAAGTTAGGATTTTCAAAGAATCAATATACTGATCTGTAATTTCAGCCATTCGTTTATACTTTTTGTTGGTGCTTCGCAGAATTTTTTCGATTTTGGCTATACCATTATCTTGATTTGATTTCAATGATTTAATTTCACTAAACAATAAGGTCATCTTACTTTCCATATATTTCATAATTGCATTGTTTGTATCATCAGGTAACCTCGCGTCACTAGGGCCCCTCTTATTCTTTCCATATCTATCAATTGGAAAAAAAAAACTTCGCAATCCTCCGTTTCAATAATATCTCCATCTTCAAGATCGTTTGCAAATTGACTAAACATATTTTCAGTGTCAACATTGGCCGCCATTATCACAATTCCACGAACAAAAGAACAAAGGGTTTCTGTAACAGTATTTGATTTACATACTAAGTACAGACTTTCCCATGATGCTTTAATTATAATGCTAACTGCGCATGCTTAGTAAATATACGTACTCTGTTCTATGTATTAGCTTTGTATGAATTAGTTGTGACTAGCTTAATAAAATATATAAACGCATGTTTGTGTTCTTACCTGCACCAAGAAACATGGTGTCAGAAGTATAAGACTGCTTATATACGCAAAAAGGACTAAATGCGACCCTTTCCTAAAGCATAATTCGTGTAGTGGTGGATTTATTAATCTTTTAATTTACGTGTAAAAGTTTAATATTTGGACATATCAGCACAATTATGAGTGCCGATGAACGGACCGAACCGCCATCAACTGTTGCACACCCATCAAATGCTGTGCTATCGTTGATTCCATTCCCGCAGGATGGATTTAATTTCAAACCAAAGGATCTAAGAGCAGCAACATCTTTAACATGCATAGGGCCTGAAGCAATAGATATATTTGACGGATTTGACATTGCAAATGAAACAGACAAGGACGATATCGAAATTGTCATTGATAAATTCAAAACGTTCTGTTTTGGCAAAACCAACGTGACATTCGAACGTTGTTCATGTGAATGAATTAATAAATGATATGCTAGTTCTTGGAATTCGAGATAATGGGTTACGAAAATGATTACTACAGGATGATAAATTGACCTTAGATAAATGCATACCCATGAGCAGAGCAGCAGAAGCATCATCCTCAAAAGTAAAGTCGTTGTCTAAACATACATCTCCAGGCGAAGATGTGCAAGTCGTAAAGCCAAAACGCAAGTAAGTGCTTGCCAAAGTGATCAAATAAAACAGAAAAAGTACAAATATTGTGGAAAAAATTGTTCGAAGGAATGTGTCCGGCTTTTAGACAAAAGTGCAGGTCTTGTGGCAAATTTAATCATTTTGCTTCGGAATGCAAGTCGCGTAAACATCACAAAGTGAAATCAGAAAGACCACATGTGAGACATTTAAATTTGAGCTCATCGTCAGGAAGTGAAGAGGACGTTTTGATGTTCAATCAAAATCAAAAGGTGCAGTCGAAAATTTTCGCAAACACGTTATTTATTAACCAAAACAAAACTGTGAGATTTCAATTAGACAGCGGAGCTGTACAGCAAATATTTCACCAAGGTTGTACGTGCCAGACGAGATAATGGACAAAACTAACATTACGTTATCAATGTATTTCCTAGGTATCTAAGGGCAAAGGACGATTTCGGAGAAAACTACACTGGGAATTTGATGATACAATGAAACCAGTGAAAATGCCACTCAGAAGGGTTCCTATTGCAATGAAAGAAAAAACTTAAAAAAGAACTAATAAAACTTGTAAACAAGGGCAAAATAGCAAAAGTAAACACTCCAACAGACTGGATATCAAGTTAAATAATTGTGAAGAAAAGATCAAATATGCTTAGAATATGTATTTATCAAAAATTTTTGAAAACTGCTTTGAAAAGAAGTCATTTTCGGCTACCAGTGGTTAAAGATGTGTCGTCTGAACTTAATTCTGCAAAAGTATTTTCAAAATGCGATGTAAAAAATGCTTTTCATCATGTGGAGCTAGATGAAAGGTCAAACAATTTGACAACATTTGAAACGCCATTCGGGCGATATCGCTGGCTTGTTATGCCATTTGGTATTTCACCAGCACCAGAGTACTTTCAACAATACCTGGAAAGGAATTTGGAAGGACTACCGGGTATAAAAGCGATCGCAGACGACATAATCATTTATGGAAAGGGTAAAACTAACGAAGAAGCATTGTGCGATTATGACAACAACGTATTGAAACTGCCAGAAAGATGCCTAGAGAGAAATATTAAGCTAAATAAAGAAAAATTTCAGTTGCTCAAAACCGAGATGTCTTTTGAGACAGACACAGGGGTGAAACCTGACCTGTATAAAGTAGATGCAAATATGTACATGCCAAGACCCACAGACAAGAAAGCTTTACAACGTTTTTTAGGCCTCGTTCGAAGTTCTTAGATAAACTTAGTGAACTATGTGAGCCGTTAAGACAATTGACGCATAAAGATGCAGTATTTCAGTTGACAGAAGTCTATGATGAAGCGTTTGACACGCTAAAACAGAAGGTGTGATAATCTCCAGTACTACGATATTTTGACCGATAGTCTGTAGTTACTCTTCAAACGGATTCCTCAGAAGCCGGTCTTGCTTTGTTACAAAAAAGACAGCCTAAGCATATGCAAACCGTAGTTTAACAAATGCAGAAAGGAATTATGCAATGATAGAAAAGAAACTATAAAGTATCCTGTACGGAATGACCAATTTTCATCAATTTACATATGGAAGATAGATTATTGTTGAAAATGACCATAAAGTATTAAAAAATTATCTGTAAAAAAAATTTTGAAACAAGGCACCAAAACGTTTTTACAAAAAATTTTTACCCAAAAATTTGGGAAACATATGACTTGAGATCGTTAAAAGGGGAAAGGAAAACCCTTTAATTATGTAAAATTACAGATAAACCTCAAGGGGCATATCTACCAAGGCCCCAAAGTTTACATCACTTGAAGAAGTTTTATTTTAAAGATTACAAAGAAAAAAATCGAACCCCACGATATGTAAAGATTATCTAGCATTGTCTCCTCAAAAGAAAAACCCACTAGAAAAACCCAAAGAACTGTTTGAAGATTTTAAAACAAAGTAACGGATCAAAAAAAATGTTGGGAGGGTTTTGTCCATCCAACGGGGTTTTACCCATATTTTTGCAGTGAGAAGGGAATTATCAAAAGGTAATGGTATCATATTTCGCAGACATAGATGTGTCATACCTAAAAGTATGCGGTCAGAAATTCTAGGTCAAATTCATTCACATATTGGTGTTGAAGGATGTTTGAAAAGAGCAAGATCATGTGTGTACTCGCCAAATATGACATCGCAAATAAATAATGCATCACTAAGTAAGACACTTGCCAATCTTTAGAAGGAAAACAAACAAAAGAACCCTTGATCAATCATGATATACCGGATAGGCCATGGGTTTAAATTTGGACGAATGTCTTTATGTTTGACGGAAATAATTATTTGGTCACTGGTGACAATTTTATTAATTTCTTTGAAATTGACAGGCTATACGAATCGAACTCGAAAGAAATCATTGGCAAACTGAAACAACATTTTGCTAGACATGGAATTCCAGAACATCTTGTCTCTGATCAAACAAGTGTATTTAAATCTGAGACATTCAAATCGTTTGAAAGAAAATAGGACTTTAATCATATATTTTCATCAGCTAGATATCCGCAGTCCAACGGAAAGGCGGAAAACGCAGTAAAAACGCTGAAACGTATCATGAAAAAGGCTAAGCATTCTCACACGTATCCAATGGTAGCGATATTGAACTTCCGGAACACACCCCAACAATCAACAAATTACAGTCCAGCTGAGCAACTCATTAACAGGAAAACTAGAACATTGCTTCCGGAAAGATCTTTGAATTTTAAATCGAGTGTACCATTTAATATTAAAGAGAAACTTGACAGAACTAAGCACAGGCAAACGCGTTATTACGACAGAAATGCAAAGTTCTTATGTCGTTTAAGAACCGGTGAAACTGTGAGAATACAACCCAAGGAACGAAACAAAACCTGCGAAAAGGGCATTGTTGTTAGAAAGCCACAAACACGTTCATATGACGTAAGAAAGGAGGATAGTACGGTAATCAATCAAAATCGACGTCAGCATTGCAAAACTAACGAACACTTCAATGAGAAGGAAAGGGAAGAAACTGTCGATTTACCTACGAATGCTAGCAGTGATGAGTTGAACCTCCCGTTAAAAATCCGAAATTAAAACCAGATCAGGTCGAGTTATACGTATGCCAGTGAATTACAATGACTATGTTACATAATATACAAACTGTAGAAATTGTAAGACTGTGTATAATGTATGTTATTAACAGAAACAGCCTATTTTTTGGACAGGCAAGATTTGTTTATTTTTTAAGTATTTCTTAGTCATCATTTTTTATTAATGATATATCGATTTAGTATTCTGAACTGAATAAGATTGGTAATATCTTCTTTTATAAAAATATAAAGGCATGTTTGTGTTCTTACCTGCACCAGGATACAGTTTCGAACCAAAACTAGTGATTTTACTATTTTCTCACCATATTACTCCAAATTTATTGATTTTATCCGCCGACAACAGCACAAACCATAGTCTCTCTTAATTACAAAATTTATTGCTTAATTTGAATCGCAAAATTACTTTAATTATCAAAAATATTTTCAACATTTTTTTTACAACTTTTCACCACCATGTCACGTGACCACCAATATGCAAAAATATATGAATTTCTTTTCTTTTTTCTTTGTTTCATTTTACGCCTTTTCCCAACAGTATTTCAGTCATATAGGCGGGTAGTTTCCTAACCATCGTTCCTGGAGAGTTACACCAGTACTAGACTACCTTCCTCCGCGCTAAACTACCAAAGCATCTCCCGGGGATCGAACCCACGCCAGAGAGGTAACTGGATTAGAAGTGATCGACTCTAACCCCTCGACCACGGAGGCGGCGCAAAAAAAAAAAAAAAAAAAAATATATGAAAATTATAAACATTATACCAGTTGATCATATAGCATATAGGACATTCATCGTTAACTGAGGGATATCTGATAAGTTTGGATTTTTTTGTAAAACTTTTTTTCGATATTTTCATGGCATGAGTAAACTTACAGGATCGTGAACGTTATTGGTGGTGTCGTTATTTTGGACAAAATTTATAACTCAATAAGTTCTTGTATTAAATTAACTAAAGTATGTTCTAATGTTAAATGTTCACTAGAAAATGTAATGAGATCTTAAAGCATTGAAAAATGTTTTGTGGGAGAAAGTATGGTAAAACTTAATTACCTTAATACCTTAATTATTTTAATTAGAAAGTTTAAAAACCACCCTGTAATTTTATTTTAGAACTATCCTTTAAATTTTACTTCGTAATGGCAAGAACTCTCCTTTATATTTTATTTTAGAACTATCCTTTATATTTTATTTTATAATAGCAAGAAATATCCTTTTGAATATCAAATGAAATTCCCTGATTACAATTTGTAATTTTTGTTTAATTTGAAATGGCCGATGAAAATTCTTCTTATATTCATTTTTCCTTGTATTTTTTTACAGAAAGCCAAACTGATATTAGAGGCCGAACAAAACATCTTGACTTTAAAATGTTTATTATTCAAATCAAAATTTAAACAAATATACATTCTGTTAAATATTTGAAAATGAAAAACAGTAAACAGCAATATACAACCTACCTCTCGAATATCTTGCAGACCTTTGTAGTACTTCCGAGCATAAAGATTACTCTGATCATCTATATTGACCAACTGTTGGAAACCCCCTGATGATGACTTGAACTTGATGTTCAACCTAAACAATAAAGAAACATTTAATTATTCAAAACGTATTAATAGACAATTTATTTTTAATTATTTAAAAACGGCATTTGTAAACTAGTTAAGTGTCATTCTAAAATGTAACTTCGATTTAAAGCAATTCCTCCAACACTTCTTTTTCTCTAAAAATATATCCGTGCCGTGTCCCATATCATTATTATTTTAATTCGTGTGTATATCATTTCTAACCATATCTGTTTAAATTATTATCAAACTTTTCAAAGCAACACCATGTCATGCTAGAACATTGGAAAAGTTGGCTTCCTATTTTTTGTTTTATCCTCAGTGTTGTTGTTCTTTTCATGATATAGTTATTCTCTTGTATTTAGTAGTTTTATATAAATTAGCATGTGTTGTTGTAGACATCCATATATGCTGTTTTTGCTGAAAAAAAAGGATGGAATAAATTTATTATGATAAGACTATCTTACCAATCTCCATGTTCAATGAGTGTCTTGAACTGTTCATCGTCAATTACACAAGTGGCCAGCTCAGCTGCTGGATTGTCCTTTGAGAAACCACCCTCACATTTATAGACTTTAAATGATCCTTCGTCTCTAATTAGGCCACCTGACAAAAATGATTTAATGCTTTTCATTATGACTTTCGATGTAACTTAACATGCAGCAATAAAAATCGTATTATAACTAAAGCATTTGTTGGAAAGAACGTATCTCGTTGATACAATATTAGCATTTTTAGTAAGAGGGATCAAATATTATAGCTATAATCAATAAATGTAAATCGCCTTACCATCTCTGGGGACTTTGCTGACGTTTGCTTCTATGATGCTTTCTACTATTCCTATTTCCCCTTCAGACACATAGTTTGGTCTCTTTGGCAAGTTTTCCGGCTGAGAGAAATATGTTATATACTCGAAATAGAGATTATTGAATCGCTTCTGGTTGCTGCAGAATTAAACAATATTTCCATAAACTTTTTTTTTCAAAATACAGTTGATATACTATGATTTATAAATTGAACTATAATTTCGTTTCACACTATGTAAAATTATTTCAATTTCTAACAGGACTTGTGATAATATCACTTTACAAAAAGTAGACAATAACCAATGTAAATACAGCAATGAATATCGCTTACGGCATGTACGGAGTACATGTATATTTTTAGTTATCAAAATTTTTGACAGGCTATATGGTCCTATATAAACGGTTGTTTGTGTGTATAATATGAGATTATATATTGCAAATAATTATTTATATACAGCAATATAACCTCTAACTTCCTTTATTACAAAGTACAACTGAAATTACTGGCTTCATAGATCGACTGCAGCGTTGTATATAGACTATATAAACGTCACGATTATCACAATGAAAAAGACCGTTACAAACGTGCAGTACTTTGCGGAGTTGCATTCTGTGGGCAGCTTCTTCTTTACAACAACAGATTAATTATTTTCTCACAAAAGATTTAACCTCTCTCTCAGTAGCAACAATATTACATGCAGGCCAAAGGGTGTTGATCTGCAGAAATTATACTGTATATCGGTTGTAAAATGTACAAACATGGGAAAACATGACAAAGAATATTAAAGCATTTTTTATATTTTCCGGGGTTTTTTTCTGTTCATATAGCATTGCTTAATTATCATCTCAAAGAAAATTTTGAATTTCACTATTATCTCCGTCAATATTTTAAATAATTCTACGAAAGCGTCCTGGTGCCAATTTATAATGTTCTACTATAAAAAGGATAACTAGGAAATAAAATAACTAATTAGGAGTTTATTACTCCTTCAGAGGACTCTATTACTCCTACAGAGGACTTTATTACTCATACGTTAGACCGAAAAACTCCTACGTTTGATTTTATAATTATTACTAAATAGTGGGACAAGAAATAGCTTTTTGTTTCTATACAATTGAATTTTGCCATAATGCAGAAATGTCTAGCGGATTTGGGAATCAATGTGATATTTCGAATAAAAGATTTCCTACTTAATAAAAGTTTTGTCTTTTACTGTAATATAACATTTAACATTTCATAAATATCGCTGCAAAGCAAGGGTTACTCTTTCTAGAGATCATGACCCACATGCCAAATATCTAAACTTTAGACATTTAAGTTAGTGTTACAAAAGAAAACATCATGTAATTTAATATATAAGTTTATAAGTGACCCCTGGCCTGGTGCCAATTTTTACCTCAGGGCTATAATTTGAGTAAAATTGGTAAAGGTCCACTAGACAATGTGTCATGCAAAAGCATCTATAGTATAATAGAACAAGATTATTTTTAACTGTATGCATACATGTACTTAGTATAAGGAAAATCAAAACCCCCTTGGGCGGGGCCAATTTTGACCCCAAAGCTATAATTTGACTAATGTTAAATAGAAGTTTTGTAGACAATGTTACGTGCTTGTTATCTGAGCTCTAGCTATTGTAGATTTGAAAAAAAAATATGTTTTTAAAATTCAAATATTTTCACTCTATAAATATAAGGAAAACATTACCCCGAGGGCGGGCCAATTTTGACCCCAGGACTATAATTTGAACAATGTTGTTAGAGGTCCACAAGACAATTCGTATGCAAATTATCTATGCTCTACGCCTTGTGGGTCTTAAGCAGAAGATTTTTTAATTTTCTTTTTTATAATTCCCTTTGGTTGCCATGTCGGTTAAAGTTTGTGACACCCTATAAGACCCTTACATTGTGTATTTGAACAGCATCAGTATAGATACTACAAAACTTAATCTGCTATGCAAGTTTAAAGTTTTGATAAATTAATAAAATCAAACTGGAAAAATAAAGAAATGAAATACATTTTTTCTTATAATTAATTTTCAGTCATGCATCTAATTGATTCTACTACGCTATTGAACAAAACATAGATTTGTTCTTTGCAGTATGGGACATAGCTGCTTTTGGCTACTGTTTTGCCCGGTAATTCCCCTGTCAACACCTATCTACATGACAAGTTTGTTGCTGTAATCCGCTTGAATGATGTTAGGCATGACTCTTGATGCAACAAGGTGTTGTGTTAAATCTGTTTTATCATTGGCTTTTTGTATAAAAGTAAGGTGAGGAAAAGAAAGTTTAGAGTGGTTTTATGTTGTTTTCTGCACATTTATCTTGTGAAGAACTAATAATATCTTATTTGATAGCTGAATTGATATGCATCATACATTTGTATAATAATGAAACCAGACCATCAAATACCAAATGTCTTTAGAAATAATGTTTTGCTCTCATCAGATTAAGTATTATAACTTTTGTAGAAGTATTTGAATGATAAAATACATTTTGTTTGTTCAAGCAACATGACTTAACAGACCTTGGTCATAAAATATATACGCAATGATAAGAATATCCACGATTGGGAAAACCAACCTTTGTCCAGTCCCGTTGGTGGTCTTAATGGAGATTTTATTACTGAACATTCATGTCGATTATTTTATTCATTTTTATTTATTTATAAAAAAACGAACCATGCCACTGGGGTTGATTCTTGATGATCATTTCTTGTTCAATAAAACATGCGATAAAATTAACTGCGATAAAACCACACAATATCTAAGTTGAATAGTAAAGTTGCATGTATTAGCCTTTGAACAGTGTAAAACCTATTGGAATTGAAAATTTATCAAAACAAAGACCGGCTTGAATTTTCAAAACAAATTAATCCTAATAATAAATGTAATCATATTTCTGGCATTAATTCAATTTAGTATATAATACGCTAATGATCCAAAATAGCAGCTAGTTCCCCATTTGTAGTCACAAATGTCATGTCAAATTTGTTATTGGGTAAACCCTTTTGGAAGAGCCAAATTCACACAAAGTTATTAGAAAAAAGACGATTTAGACTGAGTACATATGGTGTAAATTTTCAACTTGTTTTGCATTAATTTATAACATTAAGTATTCAGCAACGACTGTCAAGCTAGAAATTATCTACACAATGGATCAATAGCATCATACAAATTATTTGCAAACTTTTGCTAAATATGATACAGTATATATGCAAATATAAAATTTTTTCATGTAAAAGCAGTATCTAGAGTAATAACCTTTCATTACTCGTCTTCCGCAAAGCGGGGAGGGGATTATAGGATTGGCATCCGTCTTAATATAATTGGGTTATATCACCAAGGTCAAGTCAGGTGTTAAAAAGTCTAAATTTTGTGTCCGCTTTATAACATTTAAATTGCTGAAATATTTTTAAAATAACTTGGCAGAAATGCTAACCATTATCACATCATGTGCAGAGTCACTATCATCAAGGTCAAGGTCACACTCCAAGGTTCAATGTTAAAACATCTATTTTTCATTTCAACTCTATCACTTTTTGACTTTATGGAAGATTTGAAATAACTTGGTACAAATAATTACTATTATGAGACTTTATATTTACAATATGCATGGCACAACATCATGGTCATGGTTGGTTAAAGGTCAAAAAGTGCACATTTATGTTCACTGCGGAAGGGTATTTAGCTGTCATTCAGACTGCCCTGTTAATATTAATATAACAATGAATAGCAATGATACGTACGTTCCCCGTTACATTGAGGTTATTTTTTGGACTTCCTGAATAACTTCATTTTTATGTGCTTATCGTAATTATTTTCCCAATACTTACAATAAACCTTTAGCAATAACAAGGTACCAGCTCTTAAGAAGTTGTTTAAGAGCTTCTTTCTATAAATACGATGACATCAACAAAACAACACAGGAGTATTTTCTTACTGTGCGTGTTATCCAAATAAATCAACACCGAAAAGTTCAGTAGCGGAAATGGTAGATCAGTTAGACCCGTGATTGTAATTATATGTTTTACTTCAGCAAAAATAGGGCACTGTATTAAAATCAGTAGACAGTAACCACCGCATGGTTAACTCATTTTTTCTTTCCTCGGTCTTGTTAGAAACAAACTAATATTGATGTGAGCAGTATTCATCAGCTATATATTAACGCTTATTTGTCGTTTTGATGCAAAGCAATTAACCTCTCGAGCATTCTGTCTTCGTAGTCCAAATCTCCAAACTGTTGGTAAATAGTCGACAAACACTGCTCACATCGATATTATTTCTTCAACAAAAATTAATGCATATTGTCTTACCACCAAATAATTTCCAGTTTTCCGGACTTTTTCTCCTCCAGACCCTCTAAAGTGAACATAAAAATAACTGCACCATCAATTTTCCTGATATGAGACAATGTTACGTTACTCTTACCGACAACTGGGCGTAGCTCGTCACTTGTAGAATCAACTGTCAAATATTAAGAGGATATTTTTTCGTTTGAGAGGAATTCTGATTTATTCATGAAAATTTCATTTGATAATTTCATAGTGAAAAATATCAAAATATAATTCACACTTTCCAATGACGAGACTACTTTAAAGCATTTTCCTTTATAAAAGTATGTGTTACCTCAATTATATTTTACCTTACAATTAAGACATTGTCAGGGCTGTATAAAGAAAAACAAAGCAAACTGATAAATAACTTCAATTTCAAACGTAATGAAAAAAATGAAACTCAATTTAACAATAACCAAATATCGTTCCTAATTTTTATATTAACAGTCTGAAAAATACACTTCCTTCCACATGCAAAACTGCTCTTGATGACATATGGGCATATTAAGTATCCTACGAGCAATAACTGTATTGCATTGTGTAAAAGCAATGACAATCACCAGCCCGAAGGAAAAGTAAACAACCTAGCGTTCGTAAGGCAGCCTTTCAATTAAAAAAAATCTATGTTTTCCAAATTCCTAGTGGCTTCTAGAATGTTTATACATCCGCCAACATTATGTATTGTCCGTATTAATTCTCAAATAAGTTTCCTTTCATATGCACAGATGTAGAATTAACAAATTCAGTAGAAAGCTCTCTGAACCAAACTTCTATTTCCTTCTCTCGTAAAATACTATTCAATATAATTCATTTATTATTATATTATTAGGTTATTGTGATAGTATTACAGTTAATGGAACCTATTGGAAATAAGCTTTTAGCTTAATGGGCAATCCTTGGATAAACTTTATTTTATATTTATTTTTGTTGCATTTTTGTGTGTTTTACTAGTATATATGCATTTTAATATAGGTGACAATATTGTATGTGTTTATGCATATTTCCCTGAATAAATCGATACGAACACACAACTTTTAAAAATGCCGCTCGCTTACATTTAAAGGGACATTTTAATAAATAACCTTCTGCGAACAATAACGGAAATAAGCTCGGTGTGCTGTATCCTTTTCTCCTAGAATCGTTTGTTTTAATTGAAAGAAGCGAAGAATCATTTTTTTTCATGAAGTAAATAGTATTATCACTATGTAACGTTGATTTTGAACTTATTTTTCTTAAGCCCAAGACTTCATGTATTTATGAGAAATTGTCTGAAATCCGGGGAAACCGATTTTGATATTGAGGAATTTTCATTTAAACTTGTAATTAAGCATAAAATAAAAATATACGCCACTCATGAGAATACTGTTTTTAATCTCACTCTATAAAATAAAATTTCATCTTTCAAAAAGGCAAACAAATATCCTTTATATCAAAGTTGCTTCCATATCACGCGAACTAAATGTAACTTTTTGCTGTGAAATTAGTTTACAGAAACAAGTATTATCATTAATGTATTATTACATTGATCAGTAGTATATTGATTAATGTATGATGCAAGGACTTTTAAGTATGACTTGTTAACAACAAGATATGTTTGTAAAACATGTATGCCCCCTATCGGCAGCCAATTTGTCATGTGATCAGGTTATTATGCATGACTTCTGACCCAGTGAACAAGCAATTAATAAGGGTTATCTAGTATCTACTGGTCATGACTTGTCACAAGGTAATAATTATTGTGACCCCATAGGTTGTGTGCAGCAATTAAAGTTATTAAAAATCTTACCAAATAATATATACATAAATTTTATGAATCACATAGGCCTCATTAATGACAGCCAAGTTGTTATATTACATAAGACCTTCAAATAAGTATACCAAAAGCACATAAAAATATCAACCAAGGCAACTTGAGTTGTTGAGTTATTGGTTAGAAACGGTCATTAAGTACAAGGTCACTATGAAATTGACCCCTTGACCCCAAAATCAATAGGGTTCATCTACTGGTCATGACCAATCATCATACCAAGTTTGAAGTTCCTAGGCCTAAGGGTTCTTTAGATATTGACCGGAAACCGTTTTTACCTACAAGGTCAATGTGACCTTGACCTTTGACCCCTTGACCCCAAAATCAATAGGGGTCATCTGCTGGTCATGACCAATCATCATACCAAGTTTGAAGTACCTAGGCCCAAGCCTTTCTTAGTTATTGATCTGAAACTGTTTTTACCTAAAAGGTCAATGTGACCTTGACTTTTGACCCCAAAATCATGACCAATCACCATACCAAGTTTGAAGTTCCTAAGCCTAAGCATTCTTTAGTTATTGATCGGAAACTGTTTTTACCTACAAGGTCAATGTGACCTTGACCTTTGACCCCTTGACCCCAAAATCAATAGGGGTCATCTGCTGGTCATGACCAATCACCATACCAAGTTTGAAGTTCCTAGGCCTAAGCGTTCTTTAGTTATTGATCGGAAACCGTTTTTACCTACAAGGTCAATGTGACCTTGACCTTTGACCCCTTGACCCCAAAATCAATAGGGGTCATCTGCTGGTCATGACCAATCACCATACCAAGTTTGAAGTTCCTAGGCCTAAGCGTTCTTTAGTTATTGATAGGAAACCGTTTTTACCTACAAGGTCAATGTGACCTTGACCTTTGACCCCTTAACCCCAAAATCAATAGGGGTCATCTGCTGGTCATTACCAATCACCATACCAAGTTTGAAGTTCGTAGGCCTAAGCGTTCTTTAGTTATTGATCGGAAACCGTTTTTACCTACAAGGTCAATGTGACCTTGACCTTTGACCCCTTGACCCCAAAATCAATAGGGGTCATCTGCTGGTCATGACCAATCACCATACCGAGTTTGAAGTTCTTAGACCTAAGCGTTCTTTAGTTATTGATCGGAAACGGTTTTAACATACAAGGTCAATGTGACCTTGACCTTTGACCCCTTGACCCCAAAAAATAATAGGGGTCATCTACTGGTCATGACCAATCACCATACCAAGTTTGAAGTTCCTAGGCCTAAGGGTTCTTTAGTTATCACTCGGAAACCATTTGGTCTACGGACCGACGGACCGGACGGACCGACGGACCGGACGGACCGACAAGTGCAAAGCAATATACCCCCTCTTTTTCAAAGTGGGGGCATAATTATTCTAAATTATACCATAAGTAATTATCCTTCCTTTTAAAAGTAAGGTTGCTTTTTTTTAATATATATATATATATATATATATATAATGACTTTTATGTTTCATTTGAACCAGGGAAAAAGTGTTCATGGATGAAAAGGTGAATGAATAGCATTGTTGCATCATATACAGTGACGATGTTTAAAACTTACGCATGAGTTGTACATATACTTTGACTGTAATATCGTATACAGCCTACACCGAATACAGATCACCATTAGCTGAATACGGCAAGATGCTCGTTTTGTAAGATGACCAAGATGCTAATCGTCATCATTTTTTCGCCAAAACTATGACCACGACTATGACTACACCAAACACTACGAAGTTAACATGTTCGGCATCGATCACGACGACTTCGATCATAACCACGTCATTCACGACTTCAAAGTTTATGATAAAAAAAGTACAGCAGCGACTACGACGATAAACGACTACCACTACGACAACTTCTGCGACTACAAATACATCTGCGACTTCGACTTTTACGACGACGCCAGAGACGATGACCATTTATACGACTATACGTAGGGCTACGACCACCAAATCTACGACTTCTATGATTACGAATACAGGTAAGACTGCAACAACAACTTTGACTTCAAAAGCTTTGCCTGCAAGTCAAAAACTTCGCCTGCAAGTACAGTCATGATTTCGACCACATCGACACTCTCTACGAGGATAAAGGCCTCGACCATGACTACAGCCGTCAACTATAAAGAACAAAGAAAATACTAGGCGTTGCGTTTTCACGAACGTTTTTTTAAATAACTAGAAGGTTTAATTTCTCACAAAAACATGTCTTTCAAAACAAGGTATATGGTACTGATCCCCTCCTGTGAATTTTGGGCAAAATCCTGCCAGCAGTTTGACCTTTGAAAGCCGGACAAAGTTTTTTCTATTTACAGCTCTGACTGCCATTTTGTGCAGCAAAGCGATACATACCGGCCATATCCACAACTTTGGATGGTATTGATCACTCATTTGAAGTCTATTGAAATCCGACCAGAAGTTTGACCTATGAAATACGGAAAAGATGTTTCTATTTTTTGCTCCTGTAACGTTTCATTGAAATCCCATTAGCAGTTTGACATGTGAAAGCCAGACAAGATTTTTGTATCCATAGCTCTTGTGGCCATTTTGTGCAGTGAAGCAGATCGTGCGGCCATATGCACATCTAGGAATGGTACTGACAACACCTGTGTAGTTTCATTGAAATCTCGCATGCAGTTCAACCTGTGAAAGCCGGACAAGATTTTTCTACTTTTAGTTCTGGGGCCATTTTGTGCAGCGGAGCGGAGCCTGTCGGCGATATGTACAGCTATGGATGGTACTTATCACTCCCGTGAAGTTTCATTGAAATCCGGCCAGAAGTGTGACATGTGCAAGCCGAACAAGTTGAATGCGGACGAACGGACAGACGGACGTACTTACAAAATGGTACTAACGTGATTTTTCCTTTGATCCTTTAGGCCATTTTAATCACACAAGGTTTTAAAAAAAGACACACAAGTAAAAACGGAATGAATAGGATCAAGGAAAATTTACTGTTACCCATTGTTCTCCAAGACAAACAAGTACCTCTCGGTTTGTACGGACAGACAGACGGCGAAGGCAAAAAAAATTGGAAGACATAATTATGACGGTATGTTTCTAAGGCTCATCCGGGCGTCTCCTCTTATAACCGTTCTGTCATGATTATATATAAAAAATCCATGTTATTTAAAGTATTGTACACATATGTATCTTATTTGAATCATATGTAAATTATGGTTCTTTATTTATAGATACTCATTAATTACTTGTTGGTATGTAATCATAGTGAAATGACATACTTGCTATAGCATTCCAAGTGTTAAATCTTAATATTGAATAAAATATCATCTCGTTCAATTGATGTAGAATATCAATTATGTACAATTTAAATCATACCGTGCTTAGATAATTCAAATGTCAAATTATGCTTGCTTCGAATACTTCGCCTACAATTAAGGTAACGACTTCGATCACAACTACGATTGTGATTACTACAAGTCGTTATGTAAGACGACGCCCACGAACAGGAGTATTTTCTAGACTTCTACGATTTCTTGTAAGCTTCAACTTACATTCGACTATAAGTTCTACGACCTAGATGGTTCAAGTACAGTTCCAAATAAGACTTTTACGACTACGACTATATGAAAGCGATCACAATTACAACCTTATCTACCATGACTATGTTTTTTAAATTTACAAATAAAATTACAACTTTTACTAGGATTCCCTCCATTACATTTTCAACGACTACAAATACGACGACCACTTCACCGACGGCTAAGACTTTGACCGTAGCTACAGCAACTTCGACCATGACCGGGAATTTCACGATTACAGATACGACTTCGACGTCTACTCATACAAATATGACAACTTCTATGACGAAAACTGCTTCGACAACGGCTTTTACGACGTCTGCTACGACTAGGACTACGACTTCGACAATGCGCCAACTACAACGCTGATGACGACTTCAAGTGACTATTTCGATGACTACTAGAATCGCAACTACAGCGACAACTCCGACAATGACGACGATAAATAAACAGTCCGGCTCATTTTATGATAATTACTAATTTTCTTCTGCAGACAAAATTTTTCTTTAATGAGTGTTTAAAGTGAATTTGACCTTAAAGAAACTCCTTTGACGCCCAAAAGCATGATGCGGTGGCTAAACTGTGCTCTGGTGAATTCAATGTAGCTTACTGCCGTGATCCAGAGTGACAGCTACCTTACAACCAACCTATATCAACAGTATACAGGTTATGTAAACTATATACATTGTAAACTGCATACGGCGCAACAATGCAGGTATTAGAATAAATCCGTGAGTCTATATAAACCGCTTGAAACAGAATGTATGAGAAAGTGATATTTTTACGGTACTTACATCCTATACAACCATCAGATTGACTTTGTTTTATGAAGCCAGGTTCACATGTACATTCGGTGCCACTTGTGCAGTCTCCAGGGTAACAGGGACTTCTATAAGAACATGTCACTGAAATATATTTAAATTATGATAGAGATAAGATAAAATCACATTCAAATGACTAGTATTTGTTTTTCGTATCGTTAATTTCACATCTCAAATATATTTAAATTTAACATTTCGTAAAGTTACAAGAAAGTTTTCTCCCTTTCCGTAAAGTTTACTTTTTTCCATAAAGATAAGAACAGATACACCAGATAATTGTTTTATTTCTTTTGCTTCCAGAGTAATTAATCCAAGATTACTTAGATGTCTTAATTTTTGAAGAAATTTTGTATCCCAGGGAAAAAGTAATGAATTTGTTTTAAAAACAACATCATTGAATGTTTAAATAAAATCTACATAGTTTTGTATATTGTTCCAATTTTTCAATGTGGAATATGTTATGTAATTGATGCCAATTCATAGTCAACATTCTATATTTTATTATACAGTACTAATAAATATCAAATTTGTTTATTATCTTACATGAAGCGCATCCTACTTCCAGAGACCAAGAAGGACACTGGCAGACATTTGGATTTGTGCAAGTTCCGCCATTCTGACACCTCGGCTGGCATACAGCTTTAAATAGAACAATACTTACATGTCAACATTAGCTTTATATATGGTTATCTTTTAAGAAATCATAACTAATTTATTAAAAAAACATTTATTATCCATTTGACATAATGACACCTGTTCTTGATATATGTTTACATTAAACAAATTGCGTTGAGAAACAAATATAAGCAAAGATACTATTTAGTTATAAAAGGAAAATGATATGAATAAAATACATACGTATGTTACAGTTTTGATCGCCATTGTGTGTCCATCCAGGTCTACAAATATTTTCAGTATAGTAAATAGTTCTCCAGTAATATCTCCACCATGAACATCCCCTGTAATAAATAACAAAAATAGTCGCTGCAGTGGTTTGTGTAAACTTTAATGCTGGTCAGTCCAAGTCCGAGGCCAGCTTTCTTTTCATATATTTTTTTTCAGAATGCAATGTGTAAACATTTGATATACCGGTACCGTTGGCCTAGTGGTTAAGGCGTCCGCCTTCGGATCGGGAGGTCAAAGGTTCGAGCTTCGGAGATAAATCGGCTATCACAAATGGTACGAAAGTGAATGATATTTTCGGAATTAGCACCATAATATGATTCAATTTAAAAATGGATTAATGGTAAAAAGGAAAATAAACTGAGATATTATACTTGGTTTATAAATATTATAAACGATGACTTACCACCAGTTGTACCACATTGCACAGTATTTCTCCCTTACACTTCTACTTCGTCTTACTGCATAATAATTTCTGTAAATCACATACTCACATTTCAAAGACATACAAGACATAATTGACTACACTGATCTCCTAAAAATATATGCAACTATTCTTTTCCTAGACTTTCATAAGCATTTTGCAATGTGGAGTTTGATTTTATGTAAAAAAAAAAGTACTTTACCGCTAAATATCATCATGTAATTAATAGCGGCTGGAAATCTTTTTAATTCTTTTTTCGAAATAATTACATCGAATATTAAGATCAGACTGCCCTTTAATAGCTCTTCTATTCATCATCATCATTGCTGAAATTTTAGCCAAAATAATCAGAAAATGTGAAGAAATTTACAGGTATATAAGTTAAAACAAACACAAAAATTAAACATCTATAAAAACCGCAACTTGCCAACGACACAACTTTTATATTTTTAAAAGATATTTTAGAAGTTTCCATCGTTGTGAATATAACTGACTTATTTTGTTTATTATCTATGTTAAGATTATATATAACATTCATAACAAAAACATAAGGATTGTGGATAGGCAAGGTAGCAAATAATTGTAGTAAGCAGGAATTCAAAATAAAGACCACAAATAATTATGTAAAGAATCGTGTGTACAATATGGAAGAATGTGGTGAAGGAAAATTTTTGAATGCTAAACTATTCACTCAACTGGAACAAAAAAAGAGAGATGAAATTTAAAGAAAGATATGATCAGTCATAAAAAATGAATGTAGATTAGACATACTATATATAAAAACAATGTGAATTGCCTGGTTAAAAGAAGTTAATCAATCTAGTGAAGCTATCAGGTGTGTTATTCCAAATTTTTTACTACTATTCTATAACTATTTTATACTTTTATACAGATATGTTACACATATTTTATAAACTGTATTAGATAGATATATCGATAAATACAAATTTACAAAAAGAATCAGTAGTTCATGTGATGAATAATGCCTCATAAAGATCAAAGAAGATTCAGTAACTACGGTTTGCTTCATTTATTTTTTTAGAAATACGCAATGATGTTATTATATTTTGGAAAAAGGGGCGATAATCATAAATGAATCGATCAAGTTTTCATACACATTTTAGCCGTAATATGGGTTATTTCAATTGCTGCAAAATGTAACAAGTTTTGAACACAATAACCATAAGATTCATTTTTACTGTATTTTTGAAAATTTTGTATTCAATTGGTGTAATTTTGTCTTCAATTTAAAATATTTAGTACATGAATGATGTAGTAAATGTTCGTATACAAAGTCAAAACTTGATTAAACCATACTGTTTAACCAAAGTGTGCATCATAGATAGTAACAATAATTACACATCACATTATAAATTTTATACTTACTGTCCGGGACTATATTTTGTCCCAGTTACAATACATCTTTATTATTATGTTTAATTCACACTTTCAACTGTAAACAACGAAAAACACTTCAAAACTGTAAATTTTACACCATAATCTGTTAAGTTGTAAACTTTTCAGTAACTGTTAAGTTGTAAACTTTTCAGTCAGTTTAATCTCTAAAATTAACACTTTAACACTTTAAACTGTAACATTTTCACATAAAATTGCACAATTGACAGTTTTGCGATTTAAATATGCATATATTATATATATATATATATATTATATAAAAATCTGTTACACATTTAATTGTAAAATTTACGATGTCAACTGTAAAATGTAAAAATTGAACAATAAAAAATACACATTTATCTGTAACTATTATCTTAAAATAATCCTTAAAATTTACACTTTAAACAGTAAAACTGTAAGTTACCAAATTTAAAAATACCAATACATCAGACGGAGAAAAGGACGAACGTACGTTCCATGGACTTTTCCTTTATCATAATACATGGCATCTTCCAAAAATTACCATTTTATCTGACGAATGAACATATATACTATGAAAATATAAATCTTACTAGAGCCTATCAATTATCACAAGACGTCAAATAACATAAATATATAAATAATGTTCTTGTTTCCTCTTTCAGGTGGCAAAATTCTTTCACTGTGAAGTATAGATTAATATTCAATTACAAATCTTCTTCAAGGCAAAACGAAAATCATCTAAATAAAACGCCATTAGCGAACCCAAAACCACAACAGAACTCGTAATCTTAATAAAATTCAAACACATTTGAAAAGTTTGGCAAAATAATTGCAAAACTTCTTTCCAAAAGAATGCATTCTCTTTTAAAGACATTAAATCTACACATTCCGAGACTGCCTCCTCTAAACTGATGTAAACTCATCATCAAAATAGTTTGCATATTAATTAAATATTTGTAAGCTGACATTTAAATGCAAGCATGATTAATGTGCGTTATAAAACATATATAACCTTTGTATATCACCGTACGGAACGTGTTATAGTATCGCGTTTTGCGGTTACAGTATAGAATTTTCAAGATGGTGGATTATTTGTGGTGATTTTTATTCCGGTACATACAACAAGTAGTTTGGTTTAAAAAGACGATTTTGCGTTTTGCTTGTACGTGTCGTAGGTTTACTTTTTAAAGGCATGTTTAAAAAAGAGGGCCATGGTGGCCCTGAGTCGCTTACTAGAAACAACTGCTTTTCAGTGTTGAAAATTATCCATTGTGAATATTTCCTAATATGAAATTTGAGCATAGAATATCTTTAAACAATAAATTGAAGAAATGACATGACCTGGGGCATTTAAGCTTTAGCTTGAACGGATGTTTTAATGAATTTTTTTTCTACTTTTAGCTCTGTTGACCCTAAATGGGGCCGATTGAAATGACATGAGCAAATTTAAGTGTGACTGTCACAATGATGCTACAGACCAAATCTGAAGTAAATCTGCCCAGCAGTTTCAGAGAAGAAGATGATTGTTAACGCATGACGACGGGCGACGGACTGACGGACGACGGACGCTGGAGCACCCCCCATTGATACTAATAGCTTACCCCGAACCTTCGGTTCTGGTGAGCTTATAATGTCGGAATGGGAGAAAAATGCGTTGGTCTCTCGATTCGAATGTTCAATCTGTCAAATCAGCACATTTATAAGACAATATAGAGATAATACGGCGGTAGAGGGTCTGAAGAAATATATGACTAGATACCGGATTCAGTTCCTTACCAAAAAAGCACAAAAACATATTTTAGAAACTAAACTACTTGTAGAAAGGGATAGCGACGGAAATATCATATTAAGATGCTCGTTCATTGGTAACTTTTTTCAGGGGTTTCATATTGTGACAACAGGGAACGTGTTTTTATTTTTGACTATGATACAAAACAGAGAGAACATCAAAACACTCGGCAATCTGATTTATACTCGGGGGCTACGCCCCCTCGTACAAATCAGATAGCCTCGTGTTTCGATGCTCTTTATATTACTAATTTAGCGAGACATATATCATGCAAATTTGCAAAAATGGTCATTTTTCTGTTATCATATTAGAATTGAATAATGTTGTACTTTTCTTGATACCATGGCAATAGAAGATGTCGTTTTAATGTTATAAAGTGTTTGCAGTTACTGAAAACATTCTTCAGACATAGGCAGAGACAGAAGAAGAAGACATAATTTATTCGGTAACTTATATATTTACAGTATCACGTTACATACAATAATTACAATTATAATAGTTTTGTCAACATGACAAAAGCAAAGAAAAAAAGATAATAATAAGGACATAAAAAGTTTTAACTAATGATATTCTATAAAATTTGTTTCAAACGGAGAACAGGCAGTTGGAAATAAACAGAGAAAAGAACATCACAACATCATTATCATTCACAGAAATAAAGAGTTCCAGAAAGAAAGAAAGAAAGAAAGAAAGAAAGAAAGAAAGAAAGAAAGAAGGGAGAAAGAAAGAAAGAAAGAAAGAAAGAAAGAAAGAAAGAAAGAAAGAAAGAAAGAAAGAAAGAAAGAAAGAAAAAGAAAGAAAAAGAAAGAAAAACACCAAAAACAAAACAGACGTGAAAACATAACAGCTTCAAAAGTATAGTATTACATGTATATTTTAAACAATAATAAGGTAATTAGCTGTACCAATTGAGATTACAAAATGCGTTTTGTTTTAACAACTGGTATTAATAATTCTTGTCTCTTTTTATTGGTTAAATAATTATGTACATATATTTTCCTAAATTTACAAGTAACGCTTTATTTTCTGATTGTAATTAATCTACTTATTTATGCATAGGAGGTCTAATATAGTAATAACGATAAATCTTCTTCGAATATCTTGATAACATGGACAAATTAAAATAAAATGATATTCCTCCTCAATTTCTGGTAAGTTACATAATTGACACAATCTTCATTTCTATGTGAACTTCCGGTTTCAATCTCTAAGTTATGAGTAGATATTCTAATTCTACAAATGTTCATACTATACCTTTTCAATTAATATTTCTTAAATATGGTTCCAAACAAAAGTCTTTTTATGTTACTATACAAAGTGTTTAGTACGATATTGTTTTCTATGTATGATTGCCATTTTTGTCTAAAACAATTAATAACTCTGCTTAAATTTAGGTAAAAAGTTAACACATTTGATATTTAGTGTGTTGTCCCAAACATAAGAAAAGCCAAATTCATTTAATATGAATTTTACATTTTGAGCCCAATTATATACACCAGTCAAACTATTGCTTACTGTATATCGATAAATTTCTTTCAGTATAATATCCGTATTTACAAGCTTTAGCCAAACTTTAATTAATGATTTGTACGTATTTGTTGATATTAAAGGGGTATCTCTCTAAGACTCCCTAACCTAATTCGCCATACGATGCGTAATTACTAGCAGATTGTTTTACTCACAAAATTTCAGGTGAACTCTTTCAATATCTTTAGATTTAGTAAAACCCTAAACAGGACGTGCATACTTATCCCTTTACCTCATATATACGCGAAACAACGCACTTTCGACCCCCCACCCCCCTCTTTTAGGTCTCAAATAGTGAAATAAATGTCCTATTTCGGCCCCAAACACATGTTTTCGCTTTAGAAATGTTGCTAAAAAAATGAGCACTTTTTCGGCGCCGTCCCATCAAAAAGATGCATCAGGGGGTTGCCAGAAGGGGAATGTGCCCCCTTCTGTTTGGGGGTTTGAAGGGGCGGTAGTCCCCCTCATCGCCAAGAAAATTTTGGACTTGTAACAGGAGGCTTTTCAATGAAAACGGCCATTTTTCACAATATGCTCATGAGGGAAAGGGTAAAGTATTGAGCCAACAAAGGCATCAAATAATTGTAATGAAATATGAGGAATTAATTTTTTTTATCTTATTTAATAGAATGCTCATTGTTTTTAAATATTTCCCTACTATGCACTGCGTATCTATAACAAAAGAACGGGTATAATTAAAAACAACCCCTAGATAATTAAAATCGTTTACAACTTCAATATGTTTTCCATTATAATACTATTTTTTCTCTTGATTTGTTCTGTCCCCTTTTACAGAATAGATAATTTTGGTTTTGTCACACAGACAACATTGCCAATAATTAACGAATAGTGCTTAAATCGATGTTTAACGAAAAGGCTGAAATACACAAAACATTTAGCAAAATTACATCATTAAATTTTAACAACTCATACATAACTTAGTATTTCCTTATAAGGAAGTCATCGGATGTTATGTTTTGGCGGCAATAGTGCACGAGTTTCTTGTAATTAGTAAAGCGGGAATTCGAGGTTTATTTGTCAAGCCGTTTAGATGTGAAATTCCCGAAAATATTGAAATTTTTCTACTTTATTACACAGATAGTTTTGTAAGTGCTTATTAATTTTTTTTCAGGATTATGTACAGCTCGGAACAAAGTAAAAATGTGTCTTTATACGCGAAATAAATATTATCCATGGACTTTCAAAACTCGATGAGAAACTGTTTTGATTCACTGTAAATTATTATTCTGTTTGCATATAAATGATATAATCATGTACATGAAATGAGTTTATTTTAGGGAGAAATGATTTTTGCCTTTGCCTTTCTATAACTTTCAAAATTCGTTTCCTTTTTCCATTATGACATAAACTTTTAGATCGCTAAATTTGGGTTTTATGTCAGACAGGTTCGAAGGAGCCGCTGGTCTTGAGTCTGGATTCATCCTTCAACAATACATTGGAGTTGGGATTGGTATCACGCTCGCAGCAACCTGATTTTCGAACATTTTCAAAAACGTCCGTTTTTGCAAAACTCGATTTTCCGGTTAGATCTATATTGGAACGTTTACCTTTCTTCATTTTTACAAGAAGTATTTGGCATATTTAACAGATGAATTTGCTTAGAAAATTTATTACTATAGGTCATGTTGAAGCTTTTTTGGATTCTTTGTCTTAACAAAAATTGATATTATTCTTTATATCCAGAATTTTGTATTGGTTGGTTGGGAAAATAAACGGTTATTTGAGACGGCTTACAAAATTTATACTCCCTCTAGCCTCTTTAAACTCTGTTTTATCTTGTTTCTTGTTTCAAAGAATGTAAATTATTTATGCTCGTTTGGGTGTAACGAATTAGAGCATAAACCCTTTAATATTTTGTCCGTTTCTTCTAAATAAAGTGTGATAACTCCCGCTGTTGCTTGAATCAAATAAGAAAGTTGACTGGAACATGTTAGCGTTAATTCTTTTATCACATTTACATTTTTGATACAAATTCATGCACTTCAATGAAATAAAAAATAATAATATAAACAATGCTACATTTTGAATAAATTTATTTTTTCAGGAACAACGTAAATATCAAAACAAAACACGACAAGTTTTTAAAAAAAAATCATCTTTCGTGTAACAGTTCCTACCGTGTGAAACAGAGCAACATAAAAAATGGCAGTCATTTATCATGCAGTTAATAGCTCACTATTTCGTTAAAAGTCAAAATCTCACTTACCCCCTCCATGCATCCACTAGTTCCAACATTACAATAAAAAACACAAAGGTTGTCAATAACAAATAAAAATGCTTCATTTTGTTTAATTAAGTTCATTACGTTTACAACTGTATAACAGTATTGTTTGTAACAACCTACTCTGCTGAACGGCGAACCACTGATACACGTTGAGTGTCAGTAAAGGTTTGTTTTCAAAATGCAGTATAAATAATGATGAATTTTACAAAGCTGGCAGAACAAAAAAAAAGAACTGATAACTTTTAAAACATACACAGGTGTACGGCGCGACGCCTGGTAACAACTAGTTAATAGACAGACCCATCTACAAAAAAATTATATGAATAAAATCATTTAAAACATAATAATAATTATACTCGTATATTATTAAAATCACGTTTCAATAAAAATTTCGAATTCACTTACCATGCGTAAAAAGTATGCTGTTTACAAGATATTAAACCCATTGTCCCGTGGATATTTGCACTTTTAAGCGTAAATACATCACGTTTTTCTTTAATTTTGCAAATGTAAGGGAATAAAAATGAAAAAGAATTGTCATCAATCTATCTTCGGTTTTCATTAAAATATCTGATGTCGACTTGTCCAAAAGTGCTTACAGTATGGAAAAGATTTGATTGCATTCTTGTTATAAAAATGGCAAGACTGAAAATGAATATATAAATTCAGTTTTAAAGTTAAAAATTTTATAAAAAATAAAATAAATTTATCTAAATAAAACACCCCAAATTTAAATTTTTAACCCTATTGATAATTTTTAATGAAAAACTGAAATCTCGTAAAAATAAAATTTTACGTAGACTTTTACAGTAAAAAGCAAAGGCATGCACGCTTTCTTTCTGTAGGGGCCCATCTTCTTGGTTAAAACTTTTCCCTTTTCCCTGCACCCAAAGCTCTTGATCTACTAGTCTAAATGTTTTATATGAGTTGATCTGAAAATAAAGATGAAATATTTTACATGAATTTATAGAAAAGTTGGAACAAATAAAATAAATAAAAGAAAATTATGGTAATTATGTATACATAAGCTTGACATTTCGATACTTTATTTAGAATATGAGACGAAGCGCACACTATTAGACTGTATATAAGTATTATAATTAATTTACCCGACGTAAATCACAAAATATTTGGTAACACTTGGCCTTTAACTTTTGTTTAAAAACTCATTTTTTTTTCTTTTCCAGAAGTACTACTCGTATGTAATGTTTTCCAGGAACCCTGTAAAAGTTTTCAGGAAAAAGAATTGAAAAGTTATGTTTTCGTGAAGCAGTTCTTACACCGTGAATTGTATTCAAGGTTATATAACGTCTGTATTGATTATTCTGCTAGTATTCCATGCAGCATCGACATGAAAATACATTGCAGCTTGCATGGAGAATGGCGCGTGCATGATTAACTAACCCTTTAATAAGCGTAATATTCCGTAATGTCGAGCTCGTAGTCTCTCGTATAATATGTCTAGCATCCAACTGTTTGCTTTTATAATCAATTGGAGATGATGTTGGCTTAGCTTGGAAATAACTAATTTCCATTAATGTTGAATGATACATGTATTGTATTTTCATTTATTCTAAAGTGCTTATTTTACATGTCATGTATTTGTGTTTGAAAGTTTTGATTATTCAAAAGCTTTGTCCACACATTTAAGAGATTGTAAAGGATTTGTGTTGTCTTACGTCAGTGCAAAACTATTCTTAGCTTACTTACATTGTTATTATGGAGCCTTTTTAAAGCAGGTTCGTCGTTGTGTATTGTCTGAAAGAGAAATCAACAACAACAATGATTCATTATATGAAATTGTATGACAAAGCACCTGATTATTTTCAGCTATTCAGTACATTGTATAATTATTTTATGCGACATTAAACTCCAATGGTTGTGCAGATTACCTGTATAAACTTTATACAGAAAAATGATTTGGTGGGGGATGCATGAACATGTAAAATATGTTATATTATTTTAATCTGCAGCTGCTCGCTGTAAACATAAACTGATAACAGATATTTTAAAACCATACGCTCAATTTTTCTGACAGTAGGAAAGTAGCATTATCATCAATTTCGTACTTTTCATACTTCGGTTATCTCATATCTTTATGTTTTGAACAGATGCAGCAAAAGATAAAATTGTTTGGACTCTAATCTATTTAGGTTTGTATTTACAGGTATAGCTCATTCATTGTATCTCCACATGCTTTAATTTTGTACATAAAATTGCTAAACAAAACGTCCGACTTAGAATCGTCTACCCTAAGAGATTCGATCAGTTTAAAATGAAGACATTAAAAAACTGTTATTGAGTATCCTTTGTTTTGTGCCGGTGATCTTTTTGTTCTTACCATATAACCACATAATAACAAACATTGCATGTACATATTTGTATCGAAATAACCAAACTGGGAGGTAAAAACCGCCATGTTACATAATAACAAACATTGCATGTACATATTTGTATCGAAATAACCAAACTGGGAGATGCCATAAATGACAAATGTTACATAATAACAAACATTGCATGTACATATTTGTATCGAAATAACCAAACTGGGAGGTAAAAACCGCCAGATTATGATATACATTGTAATGTAATGATAACCACAAGATCAAAATAAACTATGAAATAGATAACAATCTTAGCAAAAGTTGTAATAGATGACAAAGTTGAACTAAAAACCATCTACACAAATATAATAATATGGATTGTTGATCAAAAACCATTAAATAAAAATTATGTTTCCAAAACGTGGTCGACTCGCCCAGGAAAAACCATAGTTTGGAAACCTGTGCCCTTTTATCTTGTGTCTAGTACCACTTGATGTAGGGCTACATCCTTGAAAAATATTTTAAACATTCTATACATGAATAAGTGTATTTCATATGACTAGATCATAAGTATTTATGACAACAAATAAAAAATTTTGAAAGAGATAATATAACATTGACTAGTTTTATAAATCTTTGCATGAACAATATACATACATATAGTGTACATCATGAATAGTTGCACAAGTATTTTGAGATAAACAATAAGTGAAACTACTGATTCATGAACAATAAATGAAATGGTATTTATAGCAACATCAAAAATTGAAAGAGGAGGATGGAGTTGGAGGAGGTGGATTTTAGTAATAAACAAAGGCGAGAATCATTCCTCGCCAAAATTATTTCTTTGTGATAGATCTAATGTAATCATTGGTTAATTAGCATCACGTGATTTAGGTCTTGGTATTGATTGGCTAAGATGTACTTGGCTAAAACCCGACCCGTAACGGGTAATATTCAGTACAGTAATGAGAATAGGGACGGACCAATGACATAAATTATTTTATGTGGGCATAAAATCTTATAAGTAAAGTAAACATTCTGGCAAAATTTGATAATGAATTGTTGCCAGCGTATTAACAACCATTTTTCGGAGTTATGCACAGCGGTGATCATAAAAGCAGACTTGCATGACTTGCACATAAATGACTATTATTGCAAATAAGTGTATCATTATGTAATAAGGGGACTTAACGTAAACTGCCAGAAATCAGTAATTACAACGACTGATTAATAATGCAACTCTGCAACCGGTTTGTTATTACTCTATATGACTTGTCTCAGATTAAAATGATTTTGCCATTTCAGAACTTTCAATTTTAACAATAACTGTGTGATAGCTAAAAAGTGTTTCTATTATTTCACCACATTTTTTTATTGTAATTGTACTAATTCGTGCTCAGGGAATGATTGATTCTTATTTTTTTAGATTATTGGACACTCATACGTTAGTAATTAAGGCACTAAAGATGTGTCCTTTTTCGCAATCTCTTTCATAAAGAATCAATTAAACCGAATATGTGGTATTAATCAATAATGTGTGTTCGCTCGAAGAACATACAAATAGTATTGCTGTGTAAGAACTTTTAGTTTTATTTCTAGCTGGTTTATGCTAGCGGAAAGACGAGACCAAACCAATAACTATTATCTTATAGGTCTTCCTCCACCAGTCGCGATATGACCTATACTGTGTCGATGTGACGTAAAACCCAAAACAAACAAACGTATGCTGTAATTTAGGTTGTTACCACACAACTTTTATATATGTAACTATATAATTATTGTTCTAAAACAATTTTCAAACATCGAAGAATATGTAAAATTCATACTACAAATATTTGTTCAAATTGTATGTAATCATTGAAATGTATGCATTCATTTCTTATTAAAACATTTGACTTCATCTTTACAGAAAATAAATTTTTAATTGCCTCCCTTTATTAACATGAAAATGTAAATTCGGTAATACCTTTACGAATAATGATTTTTGGAACTTACAATATTGATAAATCCATTTGAGCATTATATTTTTAATAAAGAAAACATAAAAATAATTGAGTAACAGGATTTTTTGTGTCGCTCTGTGCCTTTTTAACTGAAACAAAAGTCCCGTATTTGCGAATTGGGTTGATTTTTTTAAAAATAAATCCTTACGCCAGAAACACAACATTAGCTGAGTCATTTCTGTTTGAGGTTTAATGGCCCTTGAATCTTAGACGAATACCTTAATGCTCTCGATGAGAAGATTCTTTCTTAAACTCGATGATAAGAGTCGATGATATGGAAGAATCTTTAACACTGAGGAATATGCATGTATAAGCTGGAACTCGAGTTCCAGTTACGGAAACTTAAAGCGTATAATCAAATGAGCTCACAGACAGACGCTTGAACGAGTGGGAGTACCAGAATTATGCAAGAATTAGTCGAGTAAGAGCAGACGATATACAGGTTAACTCTACTGATTAAGCAGACACTCGAGAAACCTGAAGTCGTTTCAGCGAAGTGATTATTTTCTCCCGTATTCATGTATTAATGACGAATGAAACGTTTTGCAAAGATGTATTTCTTGTTGACTTCAATAAAAATCTTAAACTAAAAAATATCATTATATCTTACCAATTCAAAAAGAGATTATACGTATGTAGAAAAGTATACGATTATGAAATGATCGTTTAATTTTGAAAATGAAGTAGCGAAACAAAACAGTAAAATTATATTAGCGACACAATCAAATTAAAAATTATTTTTCGGGTTTTATATGAGAAACTCATTTTAGATAATTCATTAATTTGTTCATGAATTGTTAAGATTGGTTGAAAATTGCATGTA